CTCTCTCTCTCTCTCGCTCTCTCTGTGTGTGTGTGTATGTCTTTATCTATATGCACATATATTTTTGTTGTTGTTGTTGTTGACTCATTCAGTCATGTCTGTGTCTTCTTGATCTCATGGACCATAGCATGCCAGGCTCTTTTATCCTCCACTATCTTCCAAGTCTGTACAAGCTCATGTTCGGTGCTTTCCATGACACTATCTATCTGTCTCATCTTTTGCTGTCCTCTTTTCCTTTTATGTTCAATCTTTCCCAACATCAGGGTCTTTCCAAAGAGTCTTCTCATTATGTTGCCAAAGTATTTAAGCTTCAGCTTCAGTATTTGACCTTCCAATGAATAGTCTGAATTAATTTTTTAAATTAACTGGCATTTCTACCAATGCCAGTTGGCTTCACTGTACATTAGAGTCTTTTTTAAAAAAAAATAATTTATTTATTTTTAGTTTTCAACATTCACTTCCACAAGATTTTGAATTCCAAATTTTCTCCCCATCTCATCCCTTCCCCCACCCCAAGATGGCATGCATTCTGAATACCCCTTCTCCTAATCTGCCCTCCCTTCTATCTCTTCCCCCCACCTTATCCCCTTCTCCTTCAGTTTTCCTGTAGGGCAAGATTGATTTCTATACCCCATTCCCTGTATATCTTATTTCCCACTTGCATGCGAAAACAATTTTTTTAACATTTGTTTTTAAAACTTTGGGTTCCAATGTTTTTCCCTTCCTCCCTTCCCACCCACCCACATTAGAGTCTTATAGAGATATCTAGAACACTAGGAGTTTAAGAGATTTGCCTAGGGTTACACAACCCGTATGATTTGGAAACAGGACTTAAACCCAGGTCTTTGTGGCTCTCTAGCCACTGTGTTGTCAACAAGCATTTATTAAGCATCTACTATGTGCTAGCCATTTTGCTAAGCACTGGAGATACATAGGAAGGCAAAAAGCCCCCATCCCCTGCTTCTAAGGAGTTCATGGACCAATGGGGGAGACAATATAACATAATTACTTACAAACAAGACATAGACATAACAAACCAGAAGTTATCTCAAAAAGACCATACTACATGGTCCTACCTCTCTATAGTATATAAATATTTAAGTGCTGCCTAGAAACTTTTTTTCTTTTTAGAGGACTGGGTTCCCAAACTCTTTAGGAACTCAACATTGTACAAAAAGGTCAGGAACATCACCCTCTCCTCCTCACCTCCCACCTCCTAGGAGACTATGCATGTGGCTTGATCATCTCTGGGATTATGATTGCAATAGCCATGTACCTTAGCCACTGCCACTACATGTTGGTTCAGGAATTCTTGCTACTCCACCATTTTCCCTATCAGTTCTTGGGGCAAAAGGTTGCCATGGCTGTGGGGAGGGCTATACTAATCTATAAGCATCATCCCCCTTCATTCTTTCAGACTGAGGAGTATTCTTTGATCTCATCTTTTTCTGGATCTTTCCAGAAGACAAGGGAAAAGGTTCTTTTTAAATAAAGATTCTTTTATGGATCTGCTAAATAGAAGTGATTCCCATAATAATCCAAGCCAAGCAAATCATTAACAATCACTGAGTTCTTGAGAATTAATCACTCAACCCCACTGAGGTTTTAATGAACAGTTCCTAGTGGATATCACCTGATCTTTTTAATGAGGCTATCATTGGATATGCTTATACCCTCCATGAGGTAATAAGGTCATAGATTTAGAACTAGAGATACAAAGTCCCAAGCAAAAGCCAACACCTCCCACCTCATATAACTCCTTTGATTAACACCCAACACAAGTTCGCAAATGCTAAGATCACATCTGATATACAGAGAAGCATTGTGGCAGAGTGAAAGAAGTGCTGTATTTAATGAAAGACCTGGATTTGAGTTCTAATGGTGGTATTTAGTAGTTATGTGACTTTAGGTAATTCTTTTAACTTCTCAGAGTCTGTCTAAGAAATGGAATTTCTTTTTTTTTTTTTCTTGGGGGAGCATTGGACCTATGATTTGGCCAGTGAGGAAACTCTCTATAAATACATATTACCAATTGTTCTGCAATTTACAGTTTAAAAGAATTTCTGGGGAGGGGATGGTATTGAAAGGGCAAGAGACTTGATCAGGGTCACACAATCAGTATGTGACCTACTGCTTAGAATCTGAATTTAGATCTTTCTGATTTGTTGGCTTATTCCCAATCTACTACATCAATCTTGCTATAATTTATTTAAAATAAATTTTGATTGATATTTTCTGTTTTTTACATTATCATAGTATCCTAATATATCCCTCCTACCTGTTCCCTAAGCACTGTCTCACATGACAGTACTTTTTTAGAGAGGGAAAAAAAATCATCATAACTGATCAACATATTGAAAAAATCTGAAAACAAGTACAATGTATAACACCTATGCACCTCTTACTTCCACAAAAGGGTAGTTTGGGGTTATCTTTTCATACCTCTTCATTCAAATTTCACTTGATCTCTATAATATTTTTACATTTACTTTTGATTTTTTGATTTTCATTGTTATAGTTACTGTGTATGTTGTTTCTTGGCTTGGCTTAACTTCACTCTGCATCAGTTCATATGGATCTTTCCATGCTTCTCTGTATTCACCACATACATAATTTCTTATGGCATAGCAGTATTCCATTACATTCATGTGCCAAATGTGGTTAGCCATTCCCCAAATGATGGACATTTACTTTGTTTCTAACTCTTAGCAATCACAAAAATGCTGATATAAATATTTTGGAGTATATATGGACTTTTTTCTTATGGGCGACATATTAGGGGTATAAGCCTAGTAATGAAGTCTCTGATTCAAAGGATATGTATGATATTTTAGTCATTTTAGCTTTCCAGAATGGTTATATTATTTCATAGCTCCACCAACAGTGTATTCATGTGCCAGTCTTCCCACAATCCCTTCACCACTGTTGCAATTTTTTGTCATTTTTGCCAATTGGCGTGCTGTGAGATGAAACCTCAGAGTTGTTTTGATGTGCATTCCTCTTATTATTAATGATTTGGAGCATTTTCATGTGATTATGAATAATTTGCTTTTCTTTTGAGAAATGTTTGTTCTTATACTTTGACCATTTGTTTGTTTGGGTATTAGTTTTACATACATGTATTAATTGTTTATATATCTTAAATACCAAGTCCTTATCAAAGAAATTTGCTAAAAATATTTTTCCCATTTGACCACTTCCCTTCTTATCTTAAATAAATTAATGTCGATGTAGAAGCTTTTCAATTTCAACTAATCAAAGTTACCTGTTTTATCTTTTGCATCAGTCTCTTTTTTGGTTGAAATACATCTCTTGCACGTGGCTGTGAGAGGCATGTGATATTTTTTCTCTGCTAATTTTTTTTTATAGTATGATCTTTAATATTAAGGTTACGTATAGGCTTAAAATGTATTGTGATAAATAGTGGTAGATTTTGGTCTGAACTTAATTTCCAGCCTGTTTTCCAGTTTTCCTAGCAGATTTTTTTTTCTTTTTTAAAAAAATCAAATAGAGAGGTTTCCCCTAGGTAACATGTTTTATACTTTATCAAGCACTGGGTTATTGAGTTCTATTGTTTTTGAATCTCCCTTTTCTAATCTGTTCCATTGCTCTTTTTGTTATTTAACAAATGCCAGATGGTTTTGATAACTGCTATTTTGTAATAATGTTTGAGGTCTAGAAATGTTATTACCCCTTCACCCTTACTTCTTTTTATCATTTCCCTTGATATTCTGGACATTTTGTTTTTCCAAATGAATTTTCTTTTGAATTTATCAAGCTTTGTCAAGTATTCCCTTAGTAATTTGATTGGTATAGCATTAAAAGTATAAATTAATTTTGGTAGTATTGCCATTTTTATTATATTGTCCTGTTCTAGCTATGAGCTCTGACTATTATTTTAGCTATTTAGGTTGTACTTTATTTCTTTAAGGATTACTTTGTAGTTGAATCTACACAAATCTTTTCTCTACATTGGAAGGTTGATCTCTAGATAATATACACATTTTTGTAGTTATGTGGAATGGAATTTCCTTTCTATTACTGCTTCTCGTGTTTTTTATTATTATATAGACATGCTATTGATTTTTGAGGCTTTATTTTATAGTCTGCAACTTTGCAGAAGCTATTAATTGTCTCAGTATCTTTGCTGATTCCCCAGGGTTTTCCAAATAAACCATCATATCATCAGCAATAGGAATAGTTCTAGCTCCTCTTTGCCTGTCATTAGTCCTTTCCTTCCTTTCTTTTGTCTTTTTGCTTTTGATAGTATTTTCAGAACTATATCAAATAATAGTGAAGAGAGGGGGCATATTTGTTTCACTCCCAGGCTTTCTGTACTTTAATCATGGAATTTTTGTGAAGAGCTTTGTAAATAATGAAAAATGATAATAAAAATAATTGTAACAAATGTGTATCATATATGTATGTATTTATATGTTGTTGTTCAGTCATTTTTTATTCATGTCTGATTCCACTCCATTTGGGGTTTTCTTGGCAAAGACATTGGAGTGGTTTTCCATGTCCTTCTCCAATATATTTATATAAATGCACGTAAAACATATGTGTGAATATATATAATATGTGTATGTGTGTATATTTACATATATGTATATATACACATGATGTTTTAATGTTTGAAAAGTATTTTATATGATCCCCTTTATATGGTCATCTTATGTGATCTTCAAAGCATCCTTAGGAAGCAGATGCTATTATCGTGACATAACCATTTTATAGATTACAATAGTCAGGCAGGCAGGTGGAGGTTAAATAATTTGCCTAGAGTCACACAGCTGGTTAACTTCTGAGGCAGCATTTGAACTGAGGCTTCCTGACTCCATTGCAGACACCAGACCACTCAGCTGCATATCAAGAGTTATTTAAATGCATGTCCTTGTCAATGGAGTAAAATGAGGCACGTGGAAGCTCAATGATATTCAATAAAATTTATTCACTCGAAACAATTTCAGTGACCTGGTTTTAATTGTTCCCGAGTGTAGGCGCCTGGATTCTAATGCTCTGGTATGTGACTGTGATCTAACATGGCTGGGACAGCTTTTAAAAGGCTATGCTCAGAATGGCCACACTCAGGCTGCTGCAACCTGTGAATATCCCAGAAGCCTTCAAGGGAGATCAGTTGCCTCCTTAACAGCTGATGAATTCAACTGTGGTGAGTCGTTTTCATAATATCTTAGAACTTTCATGTATCCTCTTTCTTTAACGTCCCTGTTAATAGATATATGCTTGGATAATTGCTCATGGAAATATGTTTTTGAAATACTATTAGGCTGTTCTTTAAAAAAGAACAACTATAATTGTTTGCATCATATGGTATCTTTAAAGGAAATCGTTAAGATCATGTATTTTTTGAGCAGAAAAAGCTTTAGAGATATCTCTTACAACACCCTCATTTTACAAATAAGGAAACATCCCAGAAAATTAATATGATTTAGCCAACGCAGGAGTGGTGAGCTCAGACCCGAGGTCTTCCAACTCCCAGTCTAGTATTCTATCCACTGTACCACACTGTCAATTAGGATAAGCAATTATGTTAATGGTAATTTTAAGCTATAATGTATAAAATTTTATTTGAGGCAAATTATGATTTTATATCTGTATAATAGTAGTTATTGAGTTTATGTTTTAAGTCTTGACTACACTAGGAAAATAAATGAATCCCAAACATTTTATAGCATTATACTCTATTATCTATTACCATTGCACTAGCTTTAAAGTCTGGAATGTTCATAGTCAATGTGGAAAATGATATTATTTAAATTATTATATAGTGTAAAGTATTAAGGTAATGATGGAAACTCTTAAAAGTTCAGGATATTGACCTTGTGAACTGACAGTTTTGAACATATTTATCAAGAAAAATTTAAGATTTTTCCCATGAGTCAAGAGAGAGTTTTTTTTTGTAAGAAACAATTTATGAATGAAGAAGAATATCTATGTCCACATGGTTGATCATTTTTCTAGTCAGATGTGATTTGTATAATGTCATTATCTTCCTTCAAAACTTACAATGACTATTACCTATTGGATCACATCTAAACTTGTCCATATAGCATTTATTACATTCCATTGTCTGCTGTATACCCTACCTATCCAATCTCATCTAATAATACCTCCTTCCATATTCCCTTTACTCTTGCTAGCAGCCTATCCTTATACTCCCTAATTTATGTTTTCCTCCTTCTGTGCCTTAGCATATACTGTATACTGTTTTCCTTTCCTGAAATACTCTCTTACCTCTTTTCTACCAATTTATATTCATCACTTCTTTTAAGAAACCTTCTTTGACTAATTTTAGCATAATTTGATCACCTTACTCCAATTTCTTCGGCTCTTTTATATAGTTTATACTATATTATTGTAATCTTATTTATATTCTGTAGATGGCTTTTCTATATTTGTTTTATTACCCCATCTAGATTGTAAGCTCTACATAGACAAGAATTGTATTTTCTATTTCTTTGTATCATATATCTAGTACAGAGCTATGTGTGCAGTAGGCACTTAATAATGAGTAAGTAAACACTTATTAAACACCTACTGTTCTGGGCACTGCTAAGCTCAGAGGTTATAAGAAAGTCAAAAGACAGGCCCCATTCTCAAGGAACACACAGTCTGATGATGGTGACAATATACAAACAACTATGTTCAGACAAGCTCTACACAGGATAAATTGCAAATATTTAACAGAGGGAAATGATTAACACAGAATGAATGGATTTTCTGATCATTTTCTTTTGGGGCCATAATAATGATTGATCATTCAACATGGCACATTTAGTGTTGGGGATAATAAAAATGACTAATCACAGGTCAATCAAAGATCCCAGCCACATAATAGAAAGTCAAGTTACATGTACTCTGGAGATGTCTTTCACTAAATTCCTACACTAGTGGCTACTACTGGTGTAGAAGATGACCCTAGGATCTTAATAGCCAAATAAGATAGGGGTGAGCAGATTTTTGCTTTAAAGTGAAAAGGCTTGACATTTGGTCCCAGGCATGGCCTACATATCTGGTGTCTGAAGACCAAGCAAGCTAAGGTTAGAGAGGCCAGTTCATCCATGAGATGATGCATTTTTTTGGTCATAGCAACTCTTGAAGACCATCTGCTAAATCATAGAGGGATTATGATCTGCATTGATGGAGGGAGTAGCCATCCTGGAGAAATCATAACTCCTCAAAGTATTGACATATACAGATACTCATGATCAAATAGCAACTCAAATAAAAACATTTAGCAAATTTATTAATTGTACTTAAAGAAAAAATTCTATTTCCAAAGCTAGTTTTTTATGTAGCAGATTACTTTAAAAACTAATCTTGCATAAAGAAATTCTCTATTGACTAGTCAATAAGAGTGCAGTTGCTTTCCAGTAGTTACTTTTTAAAATTTTACAAATGCTACATTTGTACTAATAAGACAAGTAAACCATAATATTCCTATTTTGACAACTTGAATCAAGCCATTATAGGCACAACAGATTAATCTTATGGTAGAAGTTTAAGGAGGATAGAGCTTCATTTCCTGTTATGGACATTTGTTTATTTTTTCCCTTTAACCCTAAACATAATCAAAACCTAAACATGAAAACAGATAAAAAGGAGTGCATAATGAAAGAATATTTATTGTCTAAAAATCATTTTGAACTTTGTGAGAATGTACTATGTGTTTCTCTCAAATGTGGTGAGCTGGAAGAAGTGGTGGCTTTGCAGGCAGAGCTCTTGGATTCACATGCTGGCTTAGCCTCTTTTTGTCTGTGTGACATAGGGCAAGTGACTTAACTTTTCTGTGCCTCAATTTCTTCATCTGCAAAGTGAGGTGATTGGATGAAGATGTTTAAGCTTCCGTCCAGGTCCAAATCTGTTATCTTATAAGATAATCCATGGTTTCTATATACTGATAACATGAGATGACATGAATTCATATTGATTCTATTAAAATTCTGTGATGATGGTAAATAACAATAATGGCTTATATTTAGGTTTTCTGAGCTACGAAGTGCTTTCACATTCATTTCACATGATACTCTATAAAATATATATTGTTCTTGTTCAGTTGTTTTCAATTGTGACTGGCTTTGTGACCCCATTTGGGGTTGTCTTGGCAAAGATACTGGTCCTTCTCCAGCTTATTTTACAGATGAGTAAACTAAAGCAAACAGGGTTAAGTGATTTGCACAGGGCCACATGGGTAATAAGTAAGTATCTCAGGCCAGATTTGAACTCAGGAAGATGAGTCTTCCTGACTCCAGGACTGGAACTCTACTACCCCACCCTAGCTGTCCAGATAAAATATGTAATGCCAATGTTATAATCCTCATCTATAAGGTTGATCCTTTGGTACAGTAGAAGGACACAAGCTGTAGAGTCAGAGGATCTGAATTCAAATCCTGTTTCTTTTGCTTACTGCCTTTGTCACCTTAGGCAAGTCACTTTATTTCCCCAGTCCTCACTTTTCCCAGTTCTAAAATGAAGGGTTGGAACAGATGGTCCATCTCGTGCTAGATTTATAATCCTATGCTGTGCCCAGACTCGTCATTTCTATCTTCATGGCATTTCTTCTAATATGCCCCCTTTTCTCCACTGACACTGACTCCACTCTGGTGCGGGAGCTGACCACTTCCTGCCTGCTCATTGTTCCCTCTTCCATAAGTCTCTCTCCATTTCAACCCATCCACCTCTCAGCTGTCAGATTGATCTTTTTAAAGCAAATATCTGACCAAGTCACCCCACTACCCTTATTCAATAAACTCAAATGGCTCCCTAGTGCCTCCAGGATCAAAACTAAATCCTCTCTTTGACCTTTAACGGCCCCCAAAGACTGGCCTATACCTACTTTCCTATGCTTTTATACTTTATCCTCCCAGCCACCCCCACGTATACTTTGATCCAGTGACAATGGCCTTTTTGCTGTCCCTTGCACATCACTATCTCCTACCTTTTATTATTTTCACTGTCTGTCCCCCATGCCTGGGACTCTTTCCCTCTTCATTCCTACCTCCTGGCTTCTCTGGCTTCCTTCAAATCTCAGATAATGTCTTACCTTCTACAAGAAATGTTTCTCAGTCCTCAGTGCCTTTCCTCTAAAATTATCTCCAATTTGTCCTTTAGATACCTTGTTGTACATTTTGTTGCGTGTTGTTTCTCATTAGACTGTCAAGTCTTTAAGAGCAGGGACTTAAAAAAATTTTTTTTTGCCTTTCTTTGTATCCTTAGTGCTTAGCATGGTGCCTGACAAACAGCAGGAGCTATATAAATCTAGTTCACTGACTGCTTCTCTCCCATTTTTCCTAAATAAAGTAATCAACTCAAATGATTGTGAAAGATTCTTTTACAGATCTTCCTCTTGATTTTTTGCCAGATGTCACCAGGTGATATGAGACAATCTTCATGACAAGAGGCTGTAGTAGTAACTTGAATTTTGACACACCATAAAGTATAAAGAGGAAGTATGGGATTTGCTATAAAAAGTGAAACACTTATCTGAACAATGGCTCCTTCCAAATTTAATTGAGTAAGATATGAGCCTTTTCAGAAGAATCTTAAACATGCTTTATTACAATTAAATTTAAAATGCTTTCATGCTTCTAGCACTCAAACTTTAGTCTATGGAAAGGAACATTAGCTTGCATTGGTAAGCATTTTTGTTCATCAAGGTTTAAGGATTGGCCTGTGAAACCCCAAATAAAATGCATAAACTGGGTGGTTAGAAAGCTAATTGTCCAGGAATAGTACATGTAAAACTGCAAGTTTAATTTAGCTACTTGGTTTGAAAAATTGACCCATAAAATCCAAATCTTCCCATAAATACAGTTGCTTTGAACTTTTAGAAATTAGAGCACTCAGAAAGCTTGACTTAAAATGCTGCACTGCAGATTTTTCCATGGGGTGAATTGCAAGCAAAAATGTTTCTAATTACCAAACAGAAAATACAACTGAGATGTCTAAAGGCCTTTAAGTATGCAAAAATGGTGATGAAAGGATAGGGTGATATTTCATGATTTCTTCTTAGCTGATGAAACCTTATGTAAACTTCCACTTTCACATAAGCCTAACTTACCAAAAGAGCTCTTAATTTTTCCTCCAGCTCCTTTTGAACACCCTCTGTAGCATATGGTGAAATATTAATCTTTTAAGATTTCTCCTAAGTCAACTTAATTGTTTTGTTACAGAGAGACCTCGAATTACCTTTGAGCCCCAAGACGTGGATGTCACTTCAGGGAACACTGTCTACTTTACTTGCCGTGCAGAAGGAAACCCCAAGCCCAAGATTATTTGGCTACATAACAAGTAAATACCATCTAAATACTCTTAAGTGTTTCAAATGTCAGTGCCCTGAGAATCTTTAATCCCATCTTTTACTGGAGAAGTAAAGATGCTGCAATGGAAAAACATCTGACTTGTTGAGAGTCATGGTCTTTAGCTCTGCCTCTACCTTAATGGCCTAAGCTATCCATAGTGTCTTTTAAAACAGGATATATTTTGGGACAAGAATGATGAATGTATAGTATCAGAGAACTGGTCAAATACTTTTGTGTCATCCTTAGAAGGAGAAAGGACGGAGTGAAATAATTCATTCTAATCTTAATTGAATTGAGTAGAAAAAATACTCCCCTTTCATAGGTTTCAGGTTTAAGCAAAGATTTGAAATTGTGTCACATAATGCCTAAAACCATTGTATATCTTTAATATTCTAATACTGTGTAGGCCATTATTCATATTGAAGCACTTATTGCCCTATAATGAAATACTACATATTACGCTATGGTTGTATAGATGGGGTTAAATTGTCCTATATAGGTACTATTCCAGGGTGAACCCCTGGAAACCTCTGGGTTGTAGAAGGATATGTGTGACTCAGTGAGGGAACAACTTGATGCTTTGACATGATGCATCAAACTAAAAACAATCTTTTGTTCCTCTATCTATTCTATGGCAGTGGCAAGGAGGTTAGGAAGCTGGTCCATCAAATAAAAAAGACTGGCAACTTCAGGCTTGCTTTTTTGCCTTGGACTATTTCATCTGGCAAGTAGTTCTATCACTAGACTTCCTGTGGGAGGTGTGGTGAACTGACATTCTACTGAGAGATAAAATATATACACACACACACACACACACACACATACACACACACACATATATATATATATACATATATATATATATACTATAAGAAAAAAAAAGCATGGTATAAGTAAAATTGGGAAAGGAGAAAGCACTAAAAAACTGAGAGGGGGAATGGAGATCAGATAAGGTTTCTCAGATGATGCCTGAGCTGGGTCTTGAAGGAAGACAGGAATTCTGAGAGGCAGAGATGAGGCAGGAATGAGTCACAAAGATGGAGGGATGGCCTGTGTATTTGCCCAGAGGTGGGGTATAGAGTGTTAGGAACAGATAGTGGCTGGAATATAGAATTTGCAAGTGAGAATAATGTGAAACAAGTCTAGAAAGGAAAATAGGAGCCAGATTATTGGCTAGGGAGAGGAGAGGTTGGACATAAGTGTCAAGCCAAGGTTTGTTATTTTGTTCTATAGACAGTGAAAACCTTTGATCGAGGGGATGATATTATAATGGCTGGATGTTAAGCAGATTGTTTTGGCAACTGTATGCAAGATGGATTAGAGATGGGTGATATGGGAAGTGGAGAGACCAGTTGGGAGGTTATTATTATTAGTAGTAGTTCAGGCAAAAAGGATAAGACCCCAAACCAGAATCATAACCCTTGGATGCAGAAGAGACACATTTGAGAGATGTGCTGGAAGTAAAGTCAATAAGAATTGGCAAGTGATTGGTTATGGAGGCAAGATAGAAGGGAGTCAAGGGTGATTTCAGTATTACGTGCCTGGGTAACTGGAGTGGTGTCTTCAGTGGAAATAGAAAAGATTTTTTTGGGGGTATAATTCAATAGGTCGTTGAATCACAGACAGGGAGGTAATGATGGAAATAATTTTCTCTAAGTGTTGGAGAGAAGCTCACCTCATATTTTTGTCTCTGCTTTCTCTACAAGGGAGAAAGATCTACAGATTTGGAAAGATTCTAGACAGTAAGGTTTAACAGGGAGTTAAAACAAGATAAGTGAGATCATTCTAAGAGAGCAGCTGCCACTTACCAATTAGTTCAAGTTATCAGGTCCTAAAGAACACTTTCCCAGTGTGCTGATAGAGTGTCTGATCTGATGTTAATGATATTTGAGAAGTTGTAGACCAGTGTTCTACAGTAATGGAGATGGACAAATGTCCTGATTTTCATAAAAGACAATAGCAGACCATAGCTTCAATTTCTGGCAAAACTCTAGATGTTTTTATTCAACTTATGATCTGTGAGCATTTAGACAAGGATGAAGCAGTCACTAAAAGCCAGCCTGACTTCATCAAGAACAGGAAAAGCAGGCTAAATGAAATTGATTTTTGATGAGGTTAGTGTATTAGTAGGTAACATGACTGCTATAAACATAATATACATGCATTTTTGCAAAGATTTTGTCCGAATCTCTTATGGTAACTATTTGGATAAGATGTATAGCTGGGGATCAATGAACATACAGTTATTTGGACTAGATGTGGTCAGATGACTATATTCAGAGGGCATTTTAAAAAATAAAATTGCTTTCAACTTGGAGGAAGTGAGTGCCCCAATAAATTATCCATGGTCACAGATTATTTATTTCTGTGAGTTGCACAGATGGCCAGGTCATTAAATTTACAGATGATATAAAGTTATATAGTAAGGGGGACAGTGGCACGTTTGATGACAATACCTTAGCTATTACTATGTTCTGAATCTCATAATATGAAATGTAATAGAAATATACATTTATATACTTAGTTTCAAATATTTGTGATCACAAGCACAGTATGAGGGAGTTGTAGTTAGATCTAAAGAATTAAGTAAAGTGAAAGCTTAAAATGTGCTGATGTGATTTAAACATATCTATATATATATATATATGTGTATATGTGCATACATACATACATACATACAGATAGATATAGATAGATAGATAGATAGATAGATAGATAGATAGATACATACATACATACATACACACACACACATACACATATCAGGTTTCACTGACAGGCATAGCATGTAGAACAAGGGAGGTGATAATTCAATGTCCTTTGCTCTGATCAGATCACTTTTGAACATTGTGTTTAATTCTGGATACCATATTTTAAGAACATTGTCGGGCTGGAGTGACTCTGAAAGAGTACAACCAGGATTTTTAGGGTACCAGAGATCATGCTTTATAATGCTCTGTTGAAGGAACTAGGGTATTTAGCCTAGAGTGATGACTTTTTCTCTCTGGCCCCAGAAGGCTGAACTAGTACTAGGAGGTATGGGTATAAGTATCAACAAAAGCAGAATTCACTTTGATATTAGGAAAAATGTCTTAAGACTTAGAGATTTTCAAAAGTTAGTTAGGTTTCTACAGGAGATAGTAGGCTTCCCAACACTGTAGAACTTACCCAAAGCAAATGACTACTTTAAAAAAAAATAATTAAGTGGATTTGTAATTTCCAAAATAATTTCTTTCAGAAATTCTTATTTTATGAGGCTTACATCTCTTAGAAGAAATGGCAGGCTCATGATATTAGGTAACTGATAATTAGTCCATATTCCCCACAATCACTTTTCTGTTTATAGCTTTTTGGGGGCAGTGAGGGGAATACAGACAGAAATGAAGTCAGTGGAATGAATGAACAAGAGATTCAACTGCATTTTTTTCCTTGACTGGGGACAAAGGAGAGGCATGTTGGTTGTTTTCTAATATGAAAAACACATATCAAATATGACATAGGTAGAGGAGAGAGGGTGACAAATGACCCAGTTGGCCCAGCAGGCACCAAAATGACAACTTTTTGGGGGGGAACTGTATGAGGAGTATAGTTCAAGCATAAGTTGGACTTGATAGCAACTGATTCATAGGTTCATAAATTTAGACCTAGAAATATGACAACAACAATAGCTAACATTTATGTAGCACTTTAAATTTTGCAAAGTACTTTACATGTATTATTGCAAATGATGCTCACAACAGTCATGTAAGATTGGTGCTATTATGTTATAGATAAGGAAAATTAGACTGAGACATTAGCTTAAGGTCACACAGCTAGCCATTGTCTGAGACAGAGCATGACTCCATATCCACCATTCTACCTTTGGAGGTCATCTCATCCAATTTCCTTACTTTGCAGAAAAAGGAATTGAGGTCCCTTCTAACTATGTGATTCTGGTGATCTAGTCTACCTCCATGTGAGTCATGGATTCCTTCTATAATATCTTTAATCTAGCCTCTATAGTAATGCTTTCAGGAATGCACATCTTAGAATGACACAAAGCAGCCCATTCCAGTTTGAGTCTGCTCTCGCTGTTTTCAGAAGTTCTTTCACACATTACAATGAGATCTTTCCCATAATTTCCACCCATAAGTTTCCATCTTTCAGGCCAAGCTGAAGCTTTTACATGACAGCCCTTTGAATGGTAGAAGACAATGATCATGTGCTCACTAAGTATTCTTTTCTCCAGGCTAAACATCCCAAGTTCCTTTACTTGTTTGTTCATTTAATTGGTTGTTTAATTTTGAGACTCTTCTTCATTCTTTTTTCCCTTTTCTGGACATGCTCAAGATTGCCAGTATCACTCCTAAAATATGATATTCATAAAAGGATGTCATTCACTATTTGTGTTCTGGCCATAGTAGCATACAGTGAGATGATGTTCTCTCCCATTATAGAATCTATACTTCTCTCTTAATTCAGCAAAAGATCACATTAGTATTTTCCACACCCAAGTCACAATGTTAAATCATTTTGAGTTAACAGTTCACTAAAACCAACATAATTAAAACAAAAATAAAGACTGCTGTCCTTAAAATCTCCCTGTCCTCTACTTGTAAAGTTTTTAAAATCTTAGGTGCCAGATGTTCTACGAAACTTCATCTTGTTCCCAGTATTTAGATGTTTTTATGTCTTGACTCTGTCAGCTAACAATGACGTCAGTTACTTCTAATTTTTTTCACTTGTAGGTTTAATTGGTATGTAATTTTTATTTTTATCAACAACACTGGTGAAAGTGATGACCAGATAAGGTCAATGGACAGAGATGTGTGGAATTTCACTAGTGACCTCGGTCTAGGTGACATTGATTCATTGACCAACTCTCTTTGCATCTAGGCAATCAGATAATTCTGAATACACTTAACTGTACCATCATCTGGGCAACTAGGTGGCTCAGTGGATAGAGAGCTGGACCTATAGTCAGTAAGCCTCCTCTCCCTTAGTTCAAATCTGGCCTTAGACATTGACTTTCTGTGTGACCCTGTGCAAGTCTTTGCCTTAGTTTCCTCATCTGTGAAATGAGGTGGAGAAGGAAGTGGTTTGCTAGTATCTTTGCCAAGAAAATGCCAAATGGGATCGTGAAGAGTCAGATATGACTGAAAATGACTGAACAGTGATCATCTAGTTAGTCCTCTACCTTGTCCATACATTTATTTTGAGAGACCTTTTCAAATGTCTTACTAAAATCCAAACATATCCTATCACAACTGGACTACTGATATAGTAACCACTCAAGAAACAAAATATGGTTAGTTGAGTATGACTTGTTCTATGTGAAAATTTGTTAGCTTTTGGTGATCAGAAATCACAAATAATGGCACAAAGGGCATACCTGTAAAATCTTTTCAATATCTTTTGATGCAATTTTTTCAAGCTAGAGAATTTTGACTCATTTAGAGAAAATACATGCTCTCTTACTCTGATTTTCTCATTCTTGTTTCTCTTATTATATTTGTTTCTCTCTTATTTTGACCTTCAGTTCCCACATGACTATTTTTATTATAACCCTTTCAGTCTAAAGATTATTCTTTACATTAGAGAAAACAAGTAAAATAGCAGTTGGATAGCTTTCCTTTCTCTCTGCCATCCACTAATATTTTCCAAACCATCCTAAGCAATGAGCCTGTCCCTTCATTTTTCTCCTTGCCTCCTGATTTTTTGTTGTCATTGACTTTTAAAGAAAACTGAGTGGATTCTAGGGCTTTACCTTTCTGACAGCGTTCTTACATTTCTATCAATTTAGTTTGTATTGGTACTTGGCTAAGTTCTCCTTTTTTCATCTTTGTTACTTTTTCTTTTAAAATTTGATCTCATTGGAAGGCAAAACCCTCGCCTTGCCCAGGTCATGCCCTTTCTGGTATTCTTGGATATCTTTTTACCCCTTTCCACAGGGAAGGGCTCTGGATTCTTCCCCCACACCAACAACTCCTTATGGACCAAAGTCAACTCAATCTGTCTTTAAAATTTGAGCTCATTGGAGGACAACAACAACATCAATAACAACCATAGCTTGCATTTATATAGAATTTTAACATTCGCAAAGCACTTCATAAACATTATTTCATTTGATCCTCACAACAACCATGTGTGGTGGGTGAAATTATTGCTTCTGTTGAGAGAAGTTTAGTGCCTTTTCCAGTATACCCCACTAGTATGTGTCTGAGGCTGCATTTGAACTCGGGCTTTCCAGATCCTAAGTCCTTTGTTCTGTACACTGCACATCTACACAACCACATTAATTGCCTTTCTATTTTTGTCCTTGTCTAGCACTTTCTATTTTTGTTCTTAAGAGCCTCCAATCTCACAGAAAGCTTCTTCCATGATAAAATCCCATGTTATAAAGTTATACCTGTTTTTTTCCTGAACATTCTTGAAAGTTTATGATACTTGTTAGACCTGACTAGTGTCTATATTATTCTTACCTTTCATAAACACTAAATCCGCAGGGTCATTTTCCTCCCAGGGTTCCCATTGTTTATCACGGTACTTGCTAGTTCCTCCTCATTACTGAGAATTAGGACTGATGTTCTGTTTACTGTTTCCTCTGCCTAATAGAAGGTGTTGTAAACAACAACAGACGTATGTGATTAATTGTTCCAGTTTTATCAGACAGACACTTCCAGAAGATTCAATTTAATTCCACTGATGGCTATTAAACACCTTCTGTATACAGAGGACTGTGCTAGGCACTAGGAAAGATGCAGTTTTGATAATAAACAGTCTCAATTCTCATGTCGTTACAGACCAATAACAGATAAAGACATACACATCCATAGCTATTATACACATTAAACTGTATACTCCTCGAGAGCCTCTGAATCCCCAGTGATTAACATAGTGCCTGGCAAATATGTAGCACTCAATAAATGTTTGTCGACTGACTAATAACACATAAATGTCTTAAAGATAAATAAAACAAATTGCTATATTGAACACTGAAGGGTGCCAAAATAGTGAAGTCAGCGAAAAGACCAGTTTTATGTGTGAGAGAGAGAGAGTGGGGATGAAGGTGTATAAAACAGGATTTAGACTTGTTAAGTTTGGGTGCTAAATAGGACATTTATGAGGAGAGGCCCCATAAGGCAGTTAGAAATATGTGGTTCTAGAGCTCATTGAGATCTGGGCAGGAGATATAAATTCAACAATTTTTTTTTTAAATTTGTGGACTGCTCTATAGGTTTGGAAAGGTAGAGCTAGAAGATGCATGAAAGAGGGTATAATTTGAGAAACAATATTCTGAGGGAGCCAGCAGGGAGTAGGACTGATGGTGATGGTAGATGGAGTAGCCTTAGTGAGGAGTAAGACTGTCTCTTCCACTGTGTCAGCAAAAATGGAGGAGAGGCTGATGATGCCAAGAAGTTCTGAAAACTGGTAGAAGGGACATAAGGGATTTACCCATAAGTGACCTCAGTTTTTTTCAGTCAAGTATGAGACTAAGCAGAGCAATAACTAGGATGATGTGCCTGGGAATTTTCTTTAATGTGCAGAAATTTAAAGGACACTGAAAGCATTTTTACTTTTTCAGCAAGTAAAAACAATTGAGTTGAGCACCTAATTAACAAGAATAATTAGATAAAATAGTAAGCCACCAGATGGTTCACTTTCCCCTCATATTCTACCATAATAAGCTGCTCCTTGGCCTAGTCACACCCTCCCTCTACCTCCAAAGTTATGTCCTTCTGGATATTCTTGGATTTCTGTTTGGCTTCTTCCACAAGAAAGTACTCCAGCGTCTTTCCACCCACAGCTCCTTATGAACCAGGGTCAACTAAATCTGTTTTTAAAAATTTGATTTGAATTTATCTTTTATTCTTCTTGCCTTAGGACACGCTTTTAGTTGCTTGCCTCATGTGCCAGAACTGCTAGTTCAACTCTAAGCTACATATCCTGTGATAAGAATGGGTCTCAGGGGTGCAATTAGTGGTCAGAGAGTAAGTTTGGAATAGTTTAGTGGGGAGTCTATGAGAATAGAGTAGAAGCCTTGGCAAACAGTAGGGAAGACCCAGCTGAGGTGAGATGCCATATGTTAGTTCATTAAATCAGTTCCCTTTTTTGATTTGAAATAGTTTCTATGGCCTTACCATCCATGAGAGGCAAGCAGGTATGCCCAAAGGCAACCATGGAAGGTGAATTCCCTAAGGCTATATGCAGCATTCATTTTGGAGAACCCCATCTTGGGCATATAGAGCTCTTCATCCTTTTGTGGTTGTGTTATCCGATATAGCACTGAAGGAACTATTAGATTTCCTGGCTTTCTCCTGTCTGCCCATTGGCCATTTGGATTGGCACCACTTCTCCCCAAAGACTGCATCAGTGGGTCTAACTCTTCCTCTTTTTACCTGCTCCTGTCATTCTTCAAATATCTATGTCTGGTCGATTAAGGTCCCCCATCACAACTCTCTCTTGGCTCTAGGCCAGTTTAATTATTTATATCATCAAACCCAAGTCATCTGTTTCCCTCTCAACATTCCTTTCTTCTCAGAAGAAGCCTTTAGTTGAACTTGGAATGAGAAAATCTGAGGGAAGGCTGTGACGTTGTTTCATTTTCTAAATGGATGCTGTTCTGGAATGCAGAGTGGAAACTTCCTTCCTTTCTAGCTTTTACTGACTAGCAGGCTACATTCATTATAAAAATATAACAGAAAATAACCAGATTTTGAAAGCAAAGCAATTTGTGTCCCTCAGGTAATGAAAAGCTGAAATTAAACTTTGGACTTTCACAACATTCTTCAATAAATCAAAATATTAACTCAGAATTAATAATTGATTAAAATAATAATATACCTGAGAAGTTCCAGGCCTTTTGTGTGGATAATTTTCTAAAATTGTTTTTAAATACATTTTTGAGTAAAATTTATTTTCAGCCATTCATTGGACATGAAAGATAATGCTCGACTGAATTTACTCGATGATGGAACGCTCATGATCCTGAATACAAGAGAGTCAGACCAAGGTGTATATCAGTGTATGGCCAAGAATTCTGCTGGGGAAGTCAAGACACAGAATGCCATCCTCAGATATAACAGTCTTCCAAGTAAAGTTTTGTTTTCTTCTCCTTGCTTTTAGTACAAATATATCAGGTGATTCTGTTATTTAAAATAGAACTAGACTATTTTATCACTAATTTACAATGTGTGACTACAAGGTACAATTATTATTAGTCACAATTTTAAAATGTTCTTTATTGCTACATCAAAGAGACTACCTAATATTTCTTCTTTTCCTCTTGACATTTGTCTTCTTTTGTTTTCTTCATTATCTTTAAACTTTGATTGGAGAGTACTTCTGATTAGACAACTACAAGAAGGTTTGCCACATCTGTCAATTCTTGTTTTATTAGATCAAAAAATTTGTGAAATTGGCTGTTTACATTATTTCTGCTTTGTTATTGATTATTTTTAGTTCATTTGTAGGATATTAAGAATAATTCCTAGGTTTCATCATGTTTCCTTATGACTTTGCAGAAAAGAAGTGTTTCTGTTTGACCACAAACTGTCATGTTTCTACATAACATATTGTGATAGTATTAATTAGAAGTTATTAAAAAAAGTTTTCATATAAAACTCTGCCAGCTAGAATTCCCCTTCTGATCTGGCTCAGGTACTGCTAGTCACGTCCCCTCCAAACTACCATGCACATAATTACTTCACATTTGTTAGGATTTATTAACTTTAGATTTATGCTGTATGTATTTTATGTACTATTATTTCTCCCATTAAAATATTCTGACTCCTTGCAAGAAGAGATTGTTTCATTCTTTGTATTTGAATCTCTGATGCCTAGCACAGTGCTTAAAAGATTAATTGATTGAAGGTAATAAAATACTTGCAACTGTATAGTATGTTAATGGCTAGACTTTGCCACAATCCTAATTGATTGTGTCCATATAACTCAGAGTAATGTTATGTAGCTTGGTGGGTCGAGATTTGTCCTTTATAAAGAGTCATTGGACTACATGTTGAAATATACTTCAATACTTTTTTTTCAAAAATTAAGATCAATTGGGGGCAGCTAGCTAGCGCAGTGGATAGAGCACCGGCCCTGGATTCAGGAGGACCTGAGTTCAAATCCGGCCTCAGACACATAACACTTACTAGCTGTGTGACCCTGGGCAAGTCACTTAACCCCATTGCCTAGCCAAAAAAAAAAAATTAAGATCAATTTAGGACAAGTATTCATTTTTTTTTGCATTATGGAATCTTTGAGTATCTGGTTAAATCTATGAACCCCTTCTCAGAATAGTGTCTTTAATGCATAAAATAAAATAGAATTACCAAAAATCATTTATATATGAGAAATCCTATATTTATCCATTGGATTGGTAAAGGAGGAAGAATATTATGTAGGAGCTGCATCAAACGATACCTGTGTCATAGAGGTAGAGATTACTCTATATAATATAATCTGCAGGATTGGTGATGCATGCCAATTATTCCCAGTGTTGGAAATTCTTGTCTTAAGAATCTATTCCATACAGGAAAACCTATGCAAGGCTTTATCCAATTGTAAGATCTTAGAATTCTAAAATTACAGTTGGAAGAGAACTCAGGGTCGTTGAGTCCTATCTTTACCCAAAGTATGATTCTCATCTGTACTAGGTGACTTTATAAAAATGTAGCTACCATGACAGACATCTTTGAAGTGCTTGGAGTTCCTTAGAAAGAAAAATACCCCCCAAGGATTTTGGAGATATTCAGCTCAAAGAAGATCTTTTCTTTAAAGTCATACTTATTATTTGACAGTCGATTATTTTGGTACTCAGGATGTTTATCCTGGTCAGGACTAATGAGTTTAAATGAGTTTTGAATTAGATAGACTTCAGTGGTTCAAAACTACAGAACAAATGCATGAAAATGCCTTCTTAACATGTGCTTATTGATGATATCTTCTTGCTGTTTTTTGCCCGCAGCCAAGCCCAGTTTTGTAATCCAACCTCAGGACACAGAGGTTCTCATTGGAACCAGTGCAACTTTGGAATGCATGGCCACAGGCCATCCCCAACCCCATATTGTTTGGACCAGGGGCAAAACAGAGGCTTTGGATGAATCCAGGTATATCATAACTTCTGGAGGATTGTTTATTCAGAATATCACAATGCAAGACCATGGTCAGTTTACATGTCATGCCAATAATCAACAAGGATCTGTTGAATCAACGGCAGCTATTATTGTGCAAGGTATGTAGAGCAGAAGATCTTCACAAAACACGGTCCATCTGTCACTCTCAAAGTAAAAGTGTTTAACATAGAGTTGCTGATCTAAAGATTGAAAGGACAAGTCAAACCCCCTTGTTTTACAGATGAGGAAACTCAAGCCTAAAGGAGGTTGAGTGACTCCTCCAAGGTCATATATTACTACTACCTCTAAGGTGGTAAGTAGGATACTCAGGATTTGAATTCAGACCATATGACTCCAAGTTCAGCCTTCTTTCTGCTCTAGCACACGCTTTACCTGTTCTGCTTGTTCTGATTAGAATCATTCCCTTTGGATATAGAAAGCAGGAGTTAGAGAAGGGGTGGAAACTGGAGAGGCAGATTTAAACTCAATGTTAGGGAAAAACTTTCTAACAATTAGAGTTTTCTTGGGTGATAGGAGGCTCAGTATCATTAGAGGTCTTCAGGCATTGGCGGATGGTCAGTTGTTGAGTATGTTGTAGAGAGGATTCTTATTTAGGCTCTAGGATCCTTATTTGGACTAGACAGTCTCTGAGGTCTCTTCTAACTCTGAAGTATTATTATTATTATTATTATTATTATTAATTTTGTTGATATTGTTATTGCTATTAATTATTATTCAGTGAATCCAAGAATCCAGTTTGAGGGAAAATAGAATTAATTTAAAATCAGTAAGGGTAGGAAGAAATAGTTTTATTTTCCAAATGACTTTGATACAATAGATGTTCCAAAAACAATCTGTATTTTATTTAAGAAATCATGGCATAGTGGAGAGTACAAATTCTGCTTCAGACACTTACTAGCTTTTTGCGACCACAAGCAAATTACTTGGGTTTTCTGAGCCTCTGGCTGTCAGTTATAGATAGCTCATGATCTGGGAGTTCCCACTCTAATTACATCTCAAGCCCTTGGCATATTGATATGATCTTTGTGACGTTAAGACATTCATCAGTACTCTACTAAGGTGTTATAACTGCTATTACAATAACGATAATAATAATAACAAACACGTATCTGGCACTTTACAGTTTGCCTAGCCCTTTGAAATATATTATCTCATTTGAAATTCACAACTCTGTGAAGTAGGCAGGAGGGTAGTGTTACCTCATTTATTTATGTCTATATTCTAAGATTTATATGATTTCAACTACCCTGTCCCCTCACTCTAGATTTCTAGGAGCAGTGGGGGAGTTGCTGAACTGTATTTAGGGTTTGTTTGTTTTAAATAACTATCACATATGCTGAGAGTAGAGTATTTTGCTTTATTTTTCAGTATTAATAATAATAGCTGACATTTATGTACTATTTTTCAATGTTCTTTACATATTTTATTTCATAACAATGTGAGGATAGGCATTATCGTTTTTAGTATAGCAGTTTTATACATGAAACAAGCCCAAAGAAAGAAAATGACCTCTTTCCAGTGACATTGCTTGCAAATCTTTCCAATGGTATTTGAGAACAGGTCTCTCCTCACTCTAATTCCAGCATTGTTTCTTCTGTACCAGACTGTCTCTTTTCTCTTTTGAACAAAGAATAATCCTTTAATGTAAAGAGATACATAGTTTCATTTTATGGGTAATAATCATTCCGTCAATGAACATTTATTAAGCATTCCTATTACTATGTGCTAGACATTATAATAATGATTAAGTCTACAAAGTGCTCTATATTCATCATCTCATTTGAGTCTTACAATAGGCAAGACTATAGGTATTATTGTCCCTATTTCATGGAGGAGAGAAATGAAGTAGAGAGATGTTCAATGGCTTTCCTGTAAAAGGGGCTTTTCCCTCAGCAATAAGTATCTGAGGCAGGATCTGTCAACAGGCGATCACAACATCACGAACTTATGTGAAAATCAGATTTATTACAAGAGAAATCAACATGAATATGGAACCCAAAGGGTTTCCAGTCTTTACAGAGGTTTACATATTTTTTTTTTGACTAGGCAATGGGGTTAAGTGACTTGCCTAGGGTCATACAGCTACTAAGGGTTATGTGTCTGAAGCCAGATTTGAGCTCAGGTCCTCCTGAATCCAGGGCTGGTGCTCTATCCACTGCTTCACCTAGTTGCCCCAGGTTTACATTTTTATAATACAGGGACAAAGGGATACTAGGAAGGATGGGAGGGGGAACGGTGCAGGGAAGATGGGATAAGACCACTCCCACTAGGCGGAGCAAGGTGATGGCAAAAGCCTCATTCTTTTTTTCCCTTGCGAACTGCTAGATTATGAAGATAGGAAGGTCCACTTATCTGCCAAGGATTGTGCCAGCTGCACAAGCATTATCCCAGCCTGGCACAGACTGGCTGGCACCTGCTTGGCCTCCCAAGGACACACAGAGAGTCCAGCTTGGGGTGCAAATACCAAATTATGTCAGCTCAAGGGGAGCTTTGTCCTTGACATATTCAGGGCCTCCTGTATGCTCTGGGTCCAGTTTCTGGAAAATATGGCAACTCAAAAAGACAAGTTCAGGGGATCCCTTAACATGTCTGAATTCAGATATTACTGATACCAAGCACAGTTTTATAAATTTTTATCAATTATACCATATGTTTTCTTTTTCCTTTGATCTGTGTTATCTTTCATAACATGACAAATGGAAATGTTTTTCAATATGACATACATTGCATATATATAACCTATGTCAAATTGCTTGCTGTCTCAGGGAAGGGAAAGGGGAGGGAGAGAAGTAGAGAATTTGGAACTCAAACAAAAAAAATAGAATGTTAAAAATTGTTTTACATGTAATTGGGAAAAAATAAAATATTATTAAAAATCAATTATACCATACAGTCTCTCAAGGAACAGCAATAGGGTAAAACAAAAAACATTTACTGTTATCTAAGGTAATTAAGATGTCACAAAACATGAATCTTTCCAAATAATGATTGGAATGGTAGAAGAAGATGAAGTGGTTAATAATAATAACTCACAAATTTATATAGCATTTTATGTAGCAGAACTCCTCCCACTCCCCATCCTTCTCATGGAGTATATTCATAGTCATCCTCACTGGTTCCAGTGATCCTTAGGTTCAATATCTCATCCTACTGCAGCTGTAAAGGGAAGGAGGAGGGCAATGGCCACTATGGTTCTACCACCTCATTCTCAGATACAGGGCCCTTTCAGTACTGGGCCACCACATAGCCAGAAATAGGTCACATGGTCACCATAAATAAGAATGAGACTCCAAGAGCGCTTTGTTTCTCCTCTGTGCCCCTCACCCTCACATTCAATTAAAAAGCATGTTGTGATTCTCACAACAACCCACTGAGGTAGATACACCAAGTATTATCATTCCTATTTTATACACGAGGAAACTGAAGATCAGAAAGGCCATGTATGTCTTAGCCAAGTTCTCAAAGTGAGGAAATGGTATACTTAGGTGTTCTGACTACAAGTCTAATACACTTTTCACTATACTATGCTGCCTCTCAAACTAAAATGGCAGGAGTGTTTTTTGAATTTTCAAAGTGTGTTGGGCTTGCTTTCTTGAAATGATTTTATTGATTTGCATAAATTTGCATTTTATTGATTCATTCATTTATGACTTTATTTATATTATGACTGTTTATTATTTATGTAATTACCTGTATCAGCACCCTTCTCACCCCACCAACCCTGCTTTTTTTTTAAAGCGTTTTTTTTTATTTCACAATGACCTACTTCTTTTATTTTGGCAACTAGTAAGGGCTTGGCTCACAGCCTTTCTGTTTGGTTGGCATTATGTGCTCTATTGTTATAATCAATTCTGAAATGGTTTATGTTATCTGTTCTAGAGAATAATCCTTGATTATGTTATATTGTAGGGATTATATAATCAATCCCTACAAAGCCATAGTGAGGGGATAAGGCAATTGAAATCATATAAATTTTCTAGTATAGACAAAAATAAATGAGGTGTCACTATCTTCCCTGCCTACTTCAAAAAGCTGGTGTGAATTTCAGATTAGATAATAGATTAGATATGTGTTATTATTATTGCTGTTGCACCACAGTAGACCAGTGTTTTCCTTTGAGCTAAATGATCTGTAATGGAAATCAGATCTGCTTATCTTTGTGGCATTCTTGTATCAGTTTGAGGATTTTTTTTCAAATTCTGCTTAAATGAGTCTATTAAACCATCCAAATGGTTGGCAAAAAGGGAGTTTTCATCATTTAGCTATTAAAATGGGCTGTATACTTAAAGATGTTCCTCTTTATCGTCCTTTTAACAGGTGTTGTTTCAATTTGTTCTAGATCTTTAATGTCCACTTATTCTGAGATCACAATTAAAGCCACGCAGGTTTCTCTCTCAAATGGCAGAGGGAAATGATAAATAAAAATGGAAAACAAGTCCCTCAATGAGCAACGTAAATCAACGTGCAAGTCAGGCACTTAGTTTATAAGGCATACAGTAATTAATGCTGTAAATCAAAACTCTTTTTTACTAGGCATCCCAGGAATGAATAGCTAGAAGGGCCCACTCTTGATTGATTTTAGTAAAATAACAAAACACTTTATGCAGGAGATATAAGCACATAATAACTTTGACTCCCCAGTGAAAATAGCTCATTTTAGGCAACTTCATAAAATAATGACTGTGTTTTCAGCATTCCTAGTGTGAGTAGTTCCTGTAATTTTTTGATAGCTGGTCCAGTGAGTTAACCTAATTTCGAACTTCTAATTTGTATGTCCTACTAGCAAGCAAATTTCATGTCCATGTCTTTTCAGCATTTTCTTTATTAGAATACCATTTCTCTAACATTCTAACAATATAGTATTTAAAAAGTTAGACATAACCTATAATGATTCTTCATTGGATTTTCTTTTTTCTGAATTATCTTTTTTTTTTAAGAACATGTATACTATTTCCCTCTAGAGCAGTTCTTCCATAACTACCTTGGTTTGCTTCTAAAAATGTGGTCAAATGTTTACAGTAAGCAATATCAGTCCAGTATGACAGTGACATGTCATAATGTTTGTTGTTGCCTTTACATGGTAAAAGCTACCCTTCCAATTCCTTCATTTGTTTCTCTAAGTAAGAATCTGTGATCATCTTCCAATTTAGTTGCGACTTTGTCATCTGGCTGTATGCCTAGTGATAATAATACAATTCCAGTAGTAGTATGTACTTTTTTGGTTATTGGCCAAGGAATTCACATTTAGGGTATCAATAACTAAGTTAAAGTTTATAAACACTGTAACAATTGTATAATTTTTAACACCCACTCTTTGTTTTCCACCACTGACTGTCACGATTTCTATAGAAGCAGGAGGGACTATGGTATGTGATTGAAGGTTGTTTTCTATTTGGTAATTTGTGGGACTTAATTTGACTCCTCAAGTATTTGTTTTTCAAAATTGCCAAGGCTTATATTTCCCACATGCTGCTAATGATATGGATATAAGTGGGGTCTCTCTCAAGATTTCCTCTTATTTCAGCTACACCCATAGAAGCAGCTAGGTAGCCCAGTAGATAGAGCACTAAGGCTGGGATTAAGAAGATTTGAATTCAGATCTGTCTCCAGACACATATTAGATTTGTGATCCTGGGCAAGGCACTTAACCTCTGACTCAATTTCTTCAACTTTCAAATTAAGATAATAATAGTACCTACTTCCTGGGTTGTTGTAAGGATCAAATGAGATAACATTTATAAAGTGATTAGCACAGTCCTTGGCAAATTGCAGGCAATTGATATTCCTTCTTTGTTAACTTTGGACAAGTCCAGGTTGGTGCTAGAGCTAATTTGAATACATTTTCAATGTGAGCACTTATGGCTTAGAAACACTACAAATCTGAGCTTGATTTTTTGTTTTATTGATTATCCAGATTTAAGGAAGTGATGAAAAATGCTAGTAATGCAGATTAGATTTAAAAGTGTGTTATTTGTAGTTTTTTTTTAGAGTGCTGGTTGTTAAACATTTACCAACACACACTGTTCAAGTCTCTTAAACTTTCATAGCTTCAATTTCCTCATATATAGAACGGGAATAACAAGACCTCCCCTACTCATCTCATATCATTATTGTGAATATGACAGGTGACAATAGATGTGAAGGTATTTTAAAGCCATAAAACACTTTAAAATATAAAATTAATTTTATTATTTTCATCCATTGAATAATAAATAGCAAGCCACTATATAGCTCTTTAAGTTTTGGGAAACTCCTTCCAAATATTATCCAATTTAATCCTCACAATGATCCTGGGAGTGAGGTATTATTTTTACCTCCATTTAACACATGAGGAAACTGAGGCAAACAAAGGATGACTTTGTCTAGGGTCACATGGCTAGTAAGTGTCTGAGGCAAGATTTGAACTTGGGGCTTCCTGACTCTTAGTCCAACAAAGTATCTACTACACCAACTAGCCGCCCTATTTCTGCATATCTGTATTGGTTGTAAGATAATTTAACTATTCATTGACTGAATCAGTCAATAGTCATTTATTAAACACTTCTCCAATACAGAAGATTGTTCACTGAGATAAGAAGACTTCATCCCTGTCCTCAGGTGCTTTCAGCTGAGTAGAATAAAATAGTAAGACAGAAAATTGAATTAAAATGATAAGAATGTGAATAAAACAATAGAACAGAAAGTTTGTTTTTTATTTTTAGATACATGATAACATTAAAAATTCTGTTCATATGCCATGGTTTTAGTTCTGAGTTTTTGTTTTCATTTGCTTATTTAAACACATGATTTTAATTTTTTCTTGGCTGTCGTTTGTAGAGCTCTTAGAGATTTACATAATATATTCACATACATCCCATTCTCTGATATGTAAATCATTTCTGAGATGGATGGGGCAGCTATCTCCATTTTACAGAAAGAAAACTGAAGCTCATCAAGATTGAACCCATAGTCAAACAGCTAGTAAGCAAGAGAGTCAGGAAAGAGACTTGGGTCTTTTGACTCCAAGGTTCTGTTCAAGGATTTTAATCTCAGGTTGATAAAGTTTAGACAACTGCAAATAACATGGGCCAAGTGTGCTATTCATTTTTAAAAATTATTTCATGTACATAAACTGTCTTTGTATTCCAACTGTTTATTATAACCACTAATTAATCTTTTTTTAATTCAATGAGTTATTCTCATTATAGAAAGAACTTCACTAAGAAAGAGTTGTTGGGAACTGTTTTTTTTTTTTTAGTAAACATAATACAGAATTAGGAGAAGAATGACCTAGACTGTAGTCTTAACTATTACTAAGTAGCTCTGTGACTTTGGTAAAGTCATTTAACTTCTCCTGATCTTACTTTTCCTCATTTGCAAAATGAGGAACTTAAAAAATCTCTCAGAGGCTCCTTTCAGGTCTAAAATGTTATAATTTTATCATAAATGTCTAGCACACAGTCTCAAGGGCTTTTAATAATCCATGTGATGTTGTAGAAGCAGCAGGAAAAGATGTCCTTGTGCAACACTACTAATGAAATTGTGATTTAATAAAGATATTAAAAGACTTTAATCTGTATACAGGAGTTAGAGCTGGGTGGGATGTTGGGGATAACTACGTTTCCAGCTTTCCAAGTTTACATGTGGGAAAACTGAGGCTTAGAGAGATTAAAGAGATAGACCCAATGTTTTAGAGGTCATGAGTCACAGAGTTGGAATGTGAGCCCAGGACTCCTGACTTCTAATCTTCTACCCACTATACCACAGAATATACGTAGCAATTAGAATAGAGCTTTTCATGATTATAATTGTACTCTTAGGGGAAGGAAGACCTGATAGCTAACAAGATGGAGAGGTGATTTATCTTGACATTTCAATTAAATTATATAAGAATTCAGAGAACAAAATTCCCTGGATAGCATTATCACTCCTATTCAATGTTTTCTGTTCTGGTGTCATGTCCCTAGTTTAAGAAAGGGACATGAGCCATAGCTGGTGGTCAGAGTGGATGGAGTGCTGGAGTTGGAGTAAGGAAGACTCTAGTTCAAATCTTAACTCAGACATATTGGTTGTTTGATGCCGGGCAAGTTGCTCCATAGTGCTTATCCTCAGTTTCCTCATCTGCAAAATGCAACTATACAAACTCCTCCTCATAGGGTTATTGTAGAGATCAAATAATATTTTATGTATACTCATGTAGGTATGTATGTGTATAAACATATGTAAATAGAAATGTTTTTGTATAAATGTGTTTGTATGCACATATGTGTGTGCATATGCATGCATATATATTACTTTACAACTTTGTAAAATATAATAAATAAATAAGGGGCAGCCAGGTGGCACAGTAGTGGATAGAGCACAGGCCCCAGATTCAGGAGTATCTGAGTTCAAATCTGGCCTCAGACACATAACACTTTCTAGCTGTGTGACCCAGGGCAAGTCACTTAACCCCATTGCCTAGCCAAAAAAAAGAATAAATAAATAATCATTAACTACTATTATGAATTCTTCTATAATATTAAATGTAAAGGTGATTACAGAACTGATAACTACATCAGGCATTGTTTCTGGAGCATATTCCCCACAGTTCACTGTTCTGCATGTAGACACTGTCAACCCAAGTAGGTGAAAAAGGGAAATTCTGTTGGTTGTCCGACTTAGTAACAGAATGCCTGACACTGGGATGTTTGGAAATATCTAGATTATTGATTATTATGTTTTCCATTTTTCAGCTGGGTATTTTGATCTCTCTTTGAAGTAGCTATCGATCTCTTGATAGCATAAAGAGTCTTAGCTTAAATGGATACTGAGTCTAATTATTGCTGCATACTTTTGTGCTCTTTGTTAAAAAAAAAAAACTATACTGTTTAATTCTTCAAAAGTGTCTTGTATGTGGATTTCTCAATAGATTGTAATGAACAAAAATTATGAGGACGTGGTCATTAAAATTATAACTTGATAGGGCAAATAGGGAAAATAATGGTGTTGTGAGGTACGAATGAGATCATGTAAAAATGTTCTTTGCAAATATATGAATACATATAACATCATCATCATCATTATTGCTGTTGTTGTTATGTCTACTTGTTATCTCCACACAGCCATGCATGCATTTTTCAATTGTTTATTTTGAATGACTATCTAGCATGATTGAAAATTTTTTTCCTTAGTAGTTTAAAAAAAAAAACATTAATAGACGATAGTCTGGAGATTAGATGGCATATTTAAGCTCTTTTGTATATTATTTCTCCTTTCTTGTTTAGCTCCTCCACAATTTACAGTAATTCCTAAAGATGAAACAGTGCTAGAAGGACATACTGTAGAATTTCCTTGTGAAGCTGATGGCAACCCATCTCCAATAATTGCCTGGACCAAAGCAGGTATGTATTCTTTTACAAGAGATTGTTGGATGAAAATATTATTCTTTTGGGAACAGCACCTGGAATTGTCTTAAGCAAGCTTTTATGTGGAAAAGCAAAAATTTTTATATTAAAATATAGTTGCAGAAAATTACATTTTTATAAAATATTTTAATGATACCTTTAATCTGAAGTTTCTGCAATTTAGTTTCTTTATTTCTGGAATGAGAGAGTTGGACTAGAAAAATTCTAAGATCCCTTCCAGCTTTACTATTCTATGGTTTTATAGCTGCTAGTATTATTTGAAATTATTTTAAGTTCAGGTTATGTAATTATTACTACCTTAGATTGAAACACAATCCTTTTGTCAATATACCATGGGGAGGTTCAATTTGATATAAAAATAGATTTAAATTCACAAAATTTCTCAGCTACTCGAACTTTACAAGTTGAGATGTTTCTTTGTCATAATACAGTACATATGTCATGTTGAAGGGATTGTGGAAAATCCTACTTAACAACCAAATAATTAAAAAAAAGTCAACACCGCTGCAACCAACAGTTAATAGACAAGAAATGCATGAGTGATCTCACACCTTATTTCCTTCTGAGCTTTAGCATTCTCAACACTTTTTACCTATTCTTTGATAAACATTGGCTTCCCTTTCTTCCATCTTTAAAAGTAGCAGTTCTCAAGGTATAATCTGGTACCCTTTGGGGTCCCCAAGATTCTTTTAGGTGACCCACATGGTCAAAATTGTTTTCATAGTAGTACTAAGTTGTTATGCTAAATATTGATAGATACAACAAACATAAAGAAAAGATCATAGAGGGAGATCCTCAATAATTTTTAAGAGTATAGCAGGGTCCTGAGATCAAACAGTTTGAGAATTACTGATATAGAGTATACAAGCCATAGTAGTAGTGGTTTTAATTAAACTACTTTGTTTTTTCAGGTCAAATTTCCTCAGAGTGAGCAATGATATTGCTATTTGTATTTCTTTTTTAGACTACTATTCTCAATCATTATTTTTATACATGTAATAGCTACAGCAGAAAACTCATTTTACACAAATAAGATCTTATAACAGGAATAAGATTACATCTCATTTTGTTAAACCAGAGAATACTTTTTAAAAAAAAAAATCCATAGCCACAACATAATAGGATTTTCAGGTTAAACTTTTTCTCAATTTCCTAAAATAAGATGATTCTATTAGCATTTTTATTAAGATAGTAACAAAAGTAACATATTTGTTTGTGGCAGATGGATTTTTTTTAATCCAGTTATACTTAGAAATAGCTATATCTTTAAAAAATAATCAGAATTGCTTTTGTAGACTAGCCAAATAATTAAAAGGGTGGGTTAAAGAACAGATCACAAAAATGATAATTTTATTAAAAATAACTGCTTCAGGGGGCAACATACCAATATTTTCAGATATCGCTAAAGTAGTCCTTAAAGGGATAATTTATGTCTCTACATATATTCATCAAAAAAAAAGAGAAAAAAAAATCAATGAATTACACTTGCAACTACAATTTTCTTAAAGTTAGAAAACCAACAAATTAGAAACTTTCAATTAAATCCAAAATAGAAATTCTTAAAATAAAAGGAGAAAATATAAAATTGAAAAAAAAACCCTTTTGAATTAATGAATACAGCTAGCAACTGTTTTTTAAAAATATAAACCATTAACTAATTTGATTAACCAAAAAAGAAAGATGAAAATCAATTATGCAGGGCAGTGGTGCAGTGGATAGAGCACTGACCCTGGATTCAGGAGGACCTGAGTTCAAATGTGACCTCAGACACATAACACTTACTAGCTGTGTGACCCTGGGCAAGTCACTTAACCCCAATTGCCTAAAAGCAAATAAATAAATAAATAATAAAAAAAACAATTACAGTATCAAAAATGAAAAGGAATTCATAACAAATGAGTAAGAAATTAAGGAAATAATTAAAAGCTATTCTGCTCAATAATAAAGTGATGATCCAAATGAAACGAATATTTACAAAAATCAAATTTTCCAAATTAATGCAACAGGAAAAAGGGGATAATAAATTGCACATTTTTAGAAAAATAAACCATCAGTAAACTTCCAAACCACACACACACACAAAATCCAGGACCAGAGATGGATTAACAAGTGAATTGTATCAAACATTTAAAGAATGTTTCATTACAGTATTGTAAAAATTACTTTTTTTAAAAAAAGAAAGAATCATAGCAAATTCTTTCTAGAATGTAAATGTGATTTTGATATAGAAGTGAGGGAGGATTAAAATAGACAAAACTATAGACCAATATCCCTAATGAATATTGCTATAAAATTGTTAATTAAAATATTAGTAAGGATATGACTGCAGCATATCACGAAAAGTATACATTAAGACCAGGTTGGATTTATGCAAAGAATGCAAAGTTGAGTCAAGATTAGGAAAACTGTTAAGATAATAGAACATTTTAATAACAAGAGCAACAAAAATCATATGGTGATGTCAATAAATATAAATAAAGCTTTGATAGAATATGAATCCATTCCTGTTAAGAATGTGAAGAAGCATAGGAATGAATTAATCTGTCCTTAATATGCTATATGCTACCTATTTAAAACAAAGAACCAACATTACATGTAATGGGAATAAATTACATGCCTTTCCAATCAGATCAGGTATAATGCAAGGATATCTTCTATCACCACTACTGTTAGCCTAGAAGGCTAACTTTCTTCACAATGCAAGTAAAAGAAATTGAGGCATAGGCAAAAAGAGAACAAAATTATCACCTTCCACACCCCGCCCCGCCCCGATGATATTATAGTTTGTTTAGAAAATACCAAAAAATCAGTTAAAAAATCTAATTGAAATAATCAATAGTTTTATGAAAATTCCAGGATATGTAATCACCACACAAAAATCATTGGCATTTCTGCATATTACCAACAAAATTGAGCATCAAGAAATAGAAAAGAGAAATCCTATTTAAACTAACTATAGAGAGTATATAATTTTTGGGAATCTGCCTGCCAAAACACACACAAAAATTATTTGAATGTAGTCACAAAACATTATATACCCCAAAATATAACAAAATAATTATTAAAAAAAATTTTGTTGCTTAGGAATAGGCTGAGCCAATATTTTACCAATACTATCTGAAATATTGTACTTATCCAGTATCATACTACCATATGATTCCTTTTTTTAGAGTTAGAAAAATAATAAAATTCATCTGGAGAATAAAACAGTAAAGAATATCAAGGGAAATAATGAAAAAAAGTGGGAAAGATGAGTGCCTAGCACTCATCTCAAACTATACTACAAAGTATTAATTATTAAAACAATTTGGTACTTTTTAGTTTTTTTTTTTTTTGTCAAGGCAATGGGGTTAATTGACTTGCCCAGGGTGACACAGCTAGTGTTATGTGTCTGAGAGTGGATTTGAACTCAGGTCCTCCTGAATCCAGGGCTGGTGCTCTATCCACTGCGCCACCTAGCTGCCCCCTATTTGGTACTTTTTAAGAAATAGAAAGATTAATCAGTGGAACAGGTTGGGGATACACTATTCAGAAGCAAGTGAGCACAGTAGCCAAATGTTTGATAAACACAAAGACCCTAGCTATTGCAATAGAAATTAACTATTCAACAAAAATTATTAGGAAAACTCAAAAGCAGTCTGGATAAGACTAGATATAGATCAATGCACATGTATGACGAGATAAACTCTAGATGATTACATGACTTAGTCACAAATAGTGACATGATAAATAAATTAAAAGAGAAAGGAAGAAAATAACCTTTCAGATCTCTGGATAGAGAAGAGTTTATGACCAAACAGGACCAACAGTATCACAGAAAGTAAAATGGGTGATTTTGGTTACATAAAATTTAAATGTTTTCACATAAACAAAACCAATTCAGCTAAAAGCAAGTAAATAGATTAAAAAAAAATCTTTGTATCAAGTTTTTCTGATAAAAGCTTTGTGACTAAGACATATAGGAAATTGATTCAGATTTTCTAAGAGCTATTTTCCAATCAACATAGGCTCAAAGGTTAGGAACAGACAGTTTTCAGATTATGAAATAAAAGCTTTCAATAACAATATGACAAAATTCTCCACATAACTCATAATTAGAGAGATGTAAATTCAAAAGCAACTCTGAGGTTTATATGCTTATCGTATTGTCAAAGCTGATAAAAAAGGAGAACAACAAATGTTGGAGGGGCTATGGGAAAATAGATAAATTAATGTACTATTGATGGAACTGCTAACTGGTCTAGTCATTCTGGAATGAAATTTTGAACTGTGCTTATAAAGGCATTAAATTGTGCATTCCCTTCAATTTAGCAATATCACTGCTAGGTCTATACGTAAAGAAATCAAAAGGGAAGGAAAAATGTGCAAAAATATTTGTAGCAGCTCCTTTTTGCCACGGTAAAGATTTGTAAAATGAGGTGGTGGGAATTTGGGAATGGCTAAACAGGTTATGTTGTATAAATTTGATGGGATACTATTGTACTGTAAGAAATAATAAAGGAACAGTTTCATAGAAATTTGGAGAGACTTATATGAACTGATGCACAGTGAAGTGAGCTAGAACTAGAATGATTTATATAATAACAGCAGCATTGTGAAGAAAAACAGCTTTGAAAGACTGAAGAACTCTGGTCAACACTGACCCACCACAGTTCTTTACAGTTAATGAAGAAGATGCTCCTCATCTTCTGGCAGAGATGATGGACTTAGGATACAGATTAAGCAATCTATCGCTCTGTCTTTGGATGTTGACAATGCAGGATTTTGTTTTGCTTCACGATGCATATTTGTTGAGTTCTATCTATCTTTTCCAATGAGGAAGATGGGAAGGAGGGAGAGAGTACATTTAAGCTAACTAGAATAATAAAATTAGGTTTAAAAAAAGAAGTAAAGGAAAGGCAGGTTTAATGGGGTGGGAGGAAGATGATTATTTTCATTTTGAACAAGTGAATTGTAATATTTAGGTAGGATATTTCTGTAGATGGAAATGAACAGTAGGCATCTATGAATATGAAAGTGGAGGTCAGTGGATGGTTTAGGAACAAATATAGATTAGAGAGTTATCCGTGCCTCTAAAACCTCCCTTGTATAAGTATCTCCACCCACATAACTACCACAGTGGCTCAAGCCATCATTACCTCTTGCTTAGAATATTGTAACGACCCTCTAAATCCTCTCCCTGCCTCATGATTCTCTCCACTCCATGCCATTCTTCCTTCAGCTGCCAAAGTGGCTTCCTGAACATGTAAATCTGACCATGTCACTCTGATATTCAGTAAATTCTACTGGCTCCCTATTACCTTTAAGAACAGATGTAATCTTCTTAGTTTGACTTTTAAAGATCTTTAAAACATTTTAAGTTTTATACTTTCCAATCATTCTACTATTACCCTGTATTGGCCGACTTGCTGTTCTTATCAGCAACATTCAATTTCTCAGCTCCTTGCCTTTGTCATGTGTGTCAACCATGCATGGAATGCTCTTACTCCCCTTTACTTCTCAGCTTCTCTGGAGTCCTTCAAAACTCAACTAAAATATCATCTTCTACAGGAGGCCTTTCCTAGTCCACCCAACTGCTAGTGCCTTCCCTAGTAGATTACTTTCTATTTTCAGGCTGCTAGGTAGTACATTCATAAAGTTCTGGAATAGTAGGCCAGTCTAGGCATCAGGAATACCTACTTCCAAATCTTGCCTTAGAAACTTTCTGTCTGTGTGAACCTGGGCATATCAATTAACCTTTCTTTTCCTCATCTATAAAATAGGGATAGTAATAGTACCTGCCTCCCAATGTTATTGTCAGGATAAAGTACTTTGCAAACTTTAAATTTGTATATGTTAAGTTGTTTATTTATTATTATTACTCTCTATATTTTAATCCTGGTCTTAAGCACAATAAAACATCTTTCACAGCAAGACACAAAGTAATATTGAATTTGAGGCTGCAAATGTCTATTTTATAGTATTAATTTAAGAAAAAGGATACAATAAATTCCACATATTAATTTTAAAATTTTCCTGCTTTTCTATGCCACCTGCTGAACTTCCTTCTGTTCTCTTCTATTTAAAAAAAAAGTTTCGATGGCTTTCCTTTTCTTGGCTTCATTGTTGATAACCCTCCCTCTGCCTCCCTCAAATCTCCCCAATTAAAAACCAAAAGAAATTAAAAAAAAAAACCAAAAAGCTTGTAACAAATAAACACAGCCAAGCAAAACACATCCACATGATGGCCCCTTACTAGCTGTGTGACCCTGGGCAGCTCACTTTATCCTGTTTGCCTCAGTTTCCTCATCTGCAAAATAAGCTGGAGAAGTAAATGGCAAACCACTCTAGTATTTTTGCCAAGAAAACACAGATGGCATCTTGAAGAATTGGGACGTTTGTTTTGCCTTCAGCTATTCCCTCCTCAGGACTATCTTCCCAGAACCATCTATATGTAATTTATGTGCATGTCCATTTACTGTCTACTAGTCCCATATATATGTATTTTTGCCTTATTAAAATTTAAGCTCCTTGAGAACAAGGACTACCTTTTGTATCCTCAGTGATAAGAATGTGTGTAGTAAGTACTTAATAATGGTTGTTAATTAATTGATTCTTTCAGGCAAGAGAATGTTAGAATGTTCAAAAGAGAATGTAAAAGAAAAAGAATGAATATTTGAGGAACATATTGTTTAACAGATCAGGATGAAGGCAATGAACCAGGCAAGGAGGCTGAGAAGAAGCTGAGGAAGGATATCAATATGGTGAAGGTGATCAACACTGTCTAATATTGCAGTTTAAAGAAGATGAGGAGAAAAAAAATTATTATGAATTTGTCAATTAAGAGGTCAGTTAGTTACTTTAGAGAGAGTAGTTTGTGTAGATTACTGGAATGACAGCCAAATTGTATGGGATTAATGAGGATATTGATGAATAAGTGGATGAAACATTTGAAGACTACTCTTTCTAAAAGAGGTTTTATTTTCCTTTTTGTTTTATTGTAGAATAGAGACCTGGGTGTGCTCATAGGCAACAGGGACAATGCCAATAGACAGAGAACATTGATAATACTGGGGAGGATTGTGAGAAGGAATGATTGAATAGTGGAGAAAGAAGGGATAGGAATCAAGTGAATAGCTAAGTTGACCACCTTATCTTCTGATGACTGCAGGAGGAGGGCATAATTGAAGGACCTGGGTTTTGAAATATTGAGGATGGAAAATGAAGGAAGTCATGGTTAATGGCTTCAGATATCTTATCACTTCTCACTTGGCTGCTTACCTGGACTTCACCATTGTCTCCAGAAACTCAACTTCCAGCAAGATCGAAATCAACTCTGTAACTCACACATCTTCAGTACCCTCTAATCCTTGAGCTCCTCCCTCCCTCTGATTGGAGAAGGTAGAAACTGGACATGGGAGACTTTCTCCCAAATGCTCTAGATACCCCATCATTTCCCACTTGATCACAGAACTTCTCCATGCCTTTTTACCACATACCTTCAGTTCCACTTTTAAACTTATTTTTGGGTGTTGTCTTCCCTCCTTAGATTTTGACAGAGGCTGATTTTTCTTTTCTTTATATCTTTGAGTGCTTAGCATAGTGCCTGGCACATAATAGGCACTTAATAAATATTTGTTGACTGACTATAAAATAGGAAGTGAAATTAACTGTTGAAAAAGGGGATAGTGTAAGGGTTAGAATTGGACGCCTTAATAAAGAGGAAAAATTTTACAACAGATATAGGGAGTATCATAGAAAGAAAATCAATCAAAGAAAAAAATTATTTCTGTGCAATTGGGTGAACATAGCTGAGGTTCAATTATTAATGGACAGGATTTTGATAACAGAATTTTATAATTTCTTACCAGTGTGGTAGGGTCTAAAAATGTGGGTGGCTGAAATACTGTGGAATTGTAAAGAAGATATGTGAGTTGAAGAAATTGTTAGACTAGGAAGCTAGGTTATTGGTGGGGAGTTTAAGATTACTATCGAAATAGCCAATGATGATAAGGGTTAGTTAGAGTGGAGAGGAAGACTGACTTCAATGTAGGAACATTCCAGAGATTGGTAGATGATTGTGATAAAAGTCTTGATAGAATGTTATAACCAGATGAGAGGAATTTCAAAGGAAGAGAATTAACTGAATTATCTTGGCAGAACAAGTGTCTAGAACTGGCAATAGAAGGGGAGAGAGTATGTTGCCCCCTTCTTTCTGACCTGTAAATTAGGGGTCGTTAGGGAAAGAGTAATCAACTAACAATAGAGTAGATGGTGAGAAATTAGTTGATGAACAGTATAATGGAAAGGCTTTGAACTTAGAGTTAGGAGAAACCTGAATTCAATTCCATTTTTTTTTTTTGCAGATCTGCTCTCAGTTTCAATCTTTTAACTGCCTCACTTATAGAACTTAGAAAATAATATTTTTTTATCCTTTCTTAGTTCTGTTTGAAAACTATCTTTTTTGGTTATTTTTTATCATATGTATTTCTTAATATATCCTTTCATTTCTTTCCTTCCCCTTGTAGTGAGTCATCCCTTATAACAAAAATTAAAAGACAGGAAAAAACAATCAATCTATATAACTAACAGACTGAACATGTCTAACAGTACATATGATATTCCATATCCATAGTCCTTCCCACTTCTGCTATGAAGGGAAAAAGGTACATTTTCTTAATTCTCCATTGCTGAGTTTAGCCATTATAAATATGCAGTGTCATTTTCTTCTTATTTTTCTTTTAATCTTCTTGTTTACATTCTCAACTTACTCTCAAGTTAGGTAAAGTAGACATAATGCTTAGTTCTAAGTGCCATAAGGCAGCTTGGACAGGGGAAGGACAGTCCACCCTGCAGAAACTCAATATTTGGGAATCAAAGCAGACCTACAGGATTAGAGAAAGGCAGCAAAGGGACATGAATACTGAAATGTGCTGAAAACATTCCAATACATGGTGGGAGAAGGACAGATGAAATGGGAATAATTACTTTTTGTAAAAAATTCATGCTTATTCCTACATCTGGCTGTTTATATGGATGGAAGTAGGGGAAGATATTAGCAGAGATCCACAGAGCTGGTAGATGGTAGTTCAGTTAGGCAGATGTTCAAAATTTGGAATATTCAACAATGGATAGGGAAATATGAATCTAGTTATAAGGAACAATAGGGAGTAGGATCTGGAAGACCAAGAATAAATTTGATCATTGAAAGGATCAGGGGGCAAGAGGAAGAGCATGCTTATACTTACAGAAATATAAGGCAGAGAGCCCAGTTATTCAGAAACTTTGCTACAAGATAAAGTTTCATTGATTTGAGGATAAGGTGGGAACTCACTTACTAGAAAAGAGACTAAGATGAAATTAGTACTGAGGTGGGTGGTGAACTACTAACTTAGGCTACTTATATCTCTCCTTGCTCAGGGGCCAGTACTGAACCCAAATCTTCAAGCAGTGCTGAACAAGGTTGTTGGTGATGGAGGTTGTTGGGTGGTATTAATGGTTCTGCCTATGAAATTGAGAGAGGTTCAGGGGCAGGGAACCAACTAGGTCATGAAACACCATCTAATTAAAAAAGGAGAGTCAGGAAAAAGGAAAAAAAATCAAGGAAGAAAATAATATTTGTGACTTTTAGGCTTTAGGCAATGAAATGCTTAAGTGTGTTTCTTTTGCTTATTACTTACAGGAGGCCAGCTCCCTCAGGAGGGCCAGCACATCCTTCTATCTTCAGGTACCCTTCGGATTGCCCATGTAGCAGAGCATGATCAAGGCCAGTACGAATGTCAGGCTGTCAGTCCTTTGGGGGTGAAGAGAGTGATTGTCCAGCTGATTGTACTTCGCAAAGGTAATTCTCCCTACTACTCTAACTTCACCCATTATACTAAAATTAAATAAGTGAATGAAAATCAGTTATGAAACACTTACTATGTGCCAAGCCTTATGCTAGTCCCAAGGATTCTGATATAGAAAAAAGGCTGGCAAGAGCTTTCAGCTGGATGAGTTAGAGTTCGAAAGTAAGAGTGGTATGGTGATTGGTATAGCATAGTTTTGAGATCGCCTAGTTTAGACCAAACTAAGATACAAAGTGAAAAGATCCCAGAGTCCTGAGGTGAGAACTTCTGCAACCTATACGCTGTCTCCCAGTAGGGGTTTCATTTCTCAGTTTATTTTTAATTTCACATGATAGAAGAGTAAATTTAATTCCATACATCTCCATATAACCCTTTTTTTCAACCTCTAATTTCATTACACTAATTGATTTGTTACAAGCCATCCAGCTCCTACTAATTACTTACTTCATAAAAAAAGCCTTCTGAAATGTGACATTTAATGAATGGATATTTGATGAGTCTATACCTAGGATACTGCATAGCAAGAAATCATCTTTTAAGACTGATGGAATATATCTTCTTTGTGCTATTATTGAGTGATGTCTTTCATGTCCACGCTTAGTAAGAGTGAAGTGCTGATGCTTTTAATACTCAGATAAATTTCAAATTCATTGTATTAAAATCAATATTTTTGTTTATATGTTTATAGTGAGTATTCTGGAATGAGGAAGTAGTATTTATCTAGATTTTATAGTATATTGACAGATAAAAAGAGCCCACTGTTCATGTTTGTTTTGTTTTTGTTGTTATTATTGTTTTTTTAAAAGATAATTTGTATATATAATGATAAAGACTAGACCTGTGATTTCATTAATATGGTGGATCCCAGTGAGGAAACTTCCCCTACCAATGCAATTAGTCATCTGTTGTGTAACTGATAGTTTCACAGAGTTGCCTAAAGTATGAAGAGGTTAAGTACCTTGCCTTTTGGCACACATTCTGTATGCCAGAGGCAAGACTTGAACCCAGGTCTTCTTGGCTCCAGGGCCAACTCCCAATCTACTATACCACATTACTCTCTTCAAATTTAAACATTAAATGTTAGTCATTATTAAATACTAAAATCTGTTCTTTTATGGCTTATGCAGAAATGGAGACATTTATAACATTAAATAAATTGCATTTATAGAACTTTTAAACATTTCAACAAAATGTCTTAATTCCTCCCACATTTTCTCAAATTATTTTCACTTTGGTATGGTTAAATATGGTATTCATATTTGAAAGTGAGGAAAGCAAGTAGTCAAGAGCAAGCTGTAAGCCACAGAATAAATAGAATGTAGTGTTATTAAAAGGACAAATATAAAGCTGGTTAAGAAAACAAAATGATATATATATGTATATGTGTGTATGTATATCTATATATATTTATCTAAATATATATATAGATATATGTATATATATAGATATACACACATATACATGTATATATGTGCATAAAATTCTGTGTAGAAATAGCCAAATGCTCTGTACTAATCATTTACTCCCTGGGGTTTCATGTCTCTTTTGGGGGCTCCATAACAGGGGATGAAAAGAGCTTTGAAAATCTAGAAGTGGATAACCGAAAGGGGAAGAAAATAGAAACTATGGAAAAATTGGAAAGCAAAGGAATATGAACAAACATAAAGGAATAGTGATGAGGCAATTCTGTTTCTGTTTGATCAATCTAAGGTGAATTTATTACTTTGAAATACACAGCAGATCTACCTACGAGGATGAAATTACTCAAGTGATTGGATGTTCTCAAATTCATTTGGCTCAGTGGAGAAAAAAAGGTTATGCTATCAGTTTTCAGTACGCAGAGGACTAAGAACAGCACAGCCTGGGGGTGTTTTGCTACTAAAATATGACGGATAAAATATAGATGCTTGATGAATCTCTATCTAGAATACTGCATAGCAAGGAACAGTCTCTCAAGACTGATGAACTAGTATCTGTTTTCACAGAGATCTGTCTCTAGATGGAGTTAGGCTCTTTGGCTTTTATTTGTTATGTGTTATTATAGAGATTCCTCTACAGATGGAGTGCAGCTTTCAGTTCTTCAGTGAGGTTATCGCATTATTTTTTCTTTTAAATTTCGGTGATGATATTCATTTTGAATCCAGGTGATCTCAATTCTTCAGTTTCCAAATTATACTCATTTTTGCTCTGAAATAACAAATGCTGTACTAAAAAGCAAACAGGAAAGATGCTTCCACTTCCATGTAGTGCGTTTATTATGTGGATATCAATATCAGTAAGATAGTGAACAACATTTGACATAAGGAAGTTTTATGAAAGTTCTTACAGCCATAATTCCCATTCTTATTGACCTGCTATTTTACTATTAGGGTTATATCATGACCCACTCATTAACCTCCACCATGGACTATAAGAAAGTGTATATTCCACATTATTATTAAATACCTTACATATTTAAACTACACTACAGACCAGAGTTCTGTAATCTAAAAAATATGTGGGTCATCAGATTTTCAAAAGCTTGAAAATCCTTGGTAAGGGCAGCCATCTTTCCAATAAGCAAGGCCTACCAGAAAGAAAGAAAATGAATATTTAGAAATCATTTATAGTAGTTGTCAAATTAAGAGATAGTGATATGAGTGAGGGCAGGTCCCTGTAAGCTATTTCCAAATGTAAAAGTGGTTTAGTCATTTTGGCTAAGTTTACTACTTTTAACCATCTCAATTTAATTCTGTAAGCTTTATTAAGTGCCTACCCTGTGCCAGGCACTGTGCTAAATCCTGGGAATACAAAAGAGGCAAAAGACAGTTACTCTCCTCAATGGAGATTGCAATATAATGAGAAACGACATGCAAATAAATACATGAAAAGGAAGTTATACAGTATGTGGGATAAATAAGAAATGATTAAGAGAGAGAAGGGACTGGGATTAAGAGGGGTTGGGTAAGTCTTCCTGTAGAAGTGGAGATTTTAATTGGTACTTAAAGGAAGACAGGGAATTCAGGAGGCAGGGCAGAGGAGGGAGAGACAGCCAGAGAAAATGCCTGCAGCTGAAAGATGGAGTGTCATGTTTGTGGAACGACCAGGAGGCCAGCGTCATTGGATCAAAGAGTATGTGTTGAGGAGTAACATGTAAGTAGAATGTAAAGATAGGAGGGGGCTGAGTTAGGAAGGGCTTTGAATGCCAAACAGAGCATTTCGTATTTGCTCTTGGAGGCAATAGAGAGACACTGTAGTTTATTGAGTAGTGGAGAGATGTGATTAGACATGTTTTGGGACCCTTTTAGTGACTAAATAATTATGCATCAATACGTCAGTAGATTGTGATATTGATGTTGGTGCTCCCTCCAGTGGTATCTGTCACAGCTGATGCATGTTTTCTCATCTTATCCATGTCCCTCCTTAAATTCTACAGAGACAGATAGGCAGTGGTTAGGGCCTAGAATAAGGTAAAAGAAAGAAAGAGGAATAGATTACATTTGCAAAATTATGTAGTCCTTTCATTGCTGTCATGCTTCTTCCTGGAAGAAAAACTCATCTTTTAACACTATTGTTCTCCTATTTTTGTCATTTAGCTTTGGGTAATAGGAAACCATAATAGCTAACTAATTACTACTAGTCAATAATTATTAATATGATAAATTATGTTAAAAGTTGAACTGGTTGAAATTATTATCATAATTAATATTTATAACAGAAATACTACAATATTTCATAACCATTCCCTTCTTTTCATTCATATAGTCATCACTCTGTTTGAGAACCTCACCTTCTCTTCCCTAGCCAACAGCAAGAAATACTCCTTAGCCTGACATTTAAAGTGATATTGTTTTGGTCCTCTCTGAGCACAAAGGGCAACAATTTAGCCTAAATTCCTTTACAATCTAAAACCATCAGAATTTTCAGGTCTTTTTTCACAAGGTTCTCTCTCTCTCTCTCTCTCTGTATATATATATATATATATTATTATTATTATTATTATTATTATTATTATCATCATCATATATATATTTATATGTATATTATATATATTTATATGTCTTATATCAGCCAAAATAGACTTAACAATTTCCTGATTTCAACCTACTATCTCCCAACTCTATACTTTTTTTTGGGTCTTCATCTATATTTAGAATACATTCATACCTCATCTTTTAAATCCTTAAAATCATCTGTTAAACTCCTTTTTATTTCTTCAGTTTATGTGTTATCTCCTTTAGGAAGTCTTCCTTGGTCTTCCTAGCTAAGAAATGTCTCTCCTTTGTGAATTTTGCTCAAACACGTTGGAACTCTCATTTGCTGGTATCAAACTTTACCTTGAGTTATATAGTACCATATTCCTTCTAGCAAGATGAAAACTCCTTGGAGGCAGAAATTGTTATTCTTTTTTCTTTTATCCTCATAGTCTAGCACAGAGCTTTGAACATAGTATTTCATGAATATTGATACAATTGAATTGAATAACTTACAATTGCTTAACATTTTATAATATAAAGACACTTCATTTGAAGATACAGCTATAAACCAGGGATGGTGTTTGCTGCCTCATTCCTATTCTGTTGTTCAATCTTTTCTAACAGCCTACACATTGGAGATTTCCTTCTTGTTTTATTAAGTTGATGAAGATACCAACATACATGGTGTCTGGGTTGTCCATTGGTTGTTTCTTATTTTTACTACGTGATATATAGTTTCCAGAATTATTTCTTTCATTTTTGGGGGGAATCTGAGTTATATTTGTCTCTAATTTTATAGCTCCTCTTACATTCTCACCATGAAAAGCTCTCAATTGGGAAAACCTCATTATCCCACAAGATCTTGTCAGCATTGGTGCTTCACCTCATCACTACCCTCTGTTCCTCTAATTGGAGAGTGGAGTTATGAACTCCAAAACCTTCTTTTAAGGAGAGAGCTCATCTTAAACATTTTTTCATTCCTCACTTAGCTGCATTACTCTAAGACTTTTCTGACTTTTTTTCACCATGCCTTCTCTGCACCTCCATCCCCATTTTCAGCCTTTTCTGTTACCTTTCACCTTTAGATTATAAGCTCCTTGAACTCAGGGACTGTCTTTGTTTTTTCATATATGTATTTCTACTGCCTAGCACAATGTCTGGCACATAGTAGGCACTTAATACATTTTAATTGACTGACTGACTTTGAGTTTTCAAAGATTATTGATGATTGTTCTGCAAGTACATTTGTATGATTTTTTCAGTACCATGGGATGTAATTCACTTATGTCTTAAAACTTAAACCATTTCATAGGTTTAGAGATTTAGAGCTAGAAGAGATTTTAAAGGTCATCAAATACAGCCTCTTTATTTTACAGATGAGGAAACTGAGGCACAGATAGATTAAGTGACTTCTCCAGGGTCATACAGCTAGTAGCTGTGTAAAGTAGGATTTTAACTCAGGCCTTCCTTATGTGTCCTGGACCTAATTAAGATCTCACTTAAACATGCTTATTCTATACTTTCCAGTACTTCTATCTTCTTTCTCTAATTCATGAACCATTTATTTATTCTTTTCCCTGTAAACATAACCATAAAAGGTTCATTTTACTCTTCTTTGCATGTTTCAAAAGCCTGTTACAATTTGGGATCTAGCCTTACTGACATTATTTTATGTCCTTTGTTATTTTTTAAATTCCTAACATGGATAATGTGACATTTTTATCCTTTTAAAGTGGTTTCCCATTCTTTTTGGATTGTCATATCTATCTTTTCTTTAAATCCTTTAAACTCAGTTATCTTAGAATTTACAGTAGATGTTTGATGATGATGATAATAATGATAAGAGGACAGAAGGAGATACCTTTCACAACTATAGCTGGGAGGAGAATTTCTTACAAAAAAAGAGGAAGGGACAGAAATTATGGTAAAAGATAAAACAAAAAAAAGAAAAAATTTGAAAGCAAAATGATCAAACTTTTGGACAAATAACACCAATGTAACTCACACAAGAAAATAAGCTGTTGATAGGGAAAGCATCTGTTATCTAGGTGGAACAATGGATAGAGTGCTGCTCATGGAGTCAAGAAGACCTGATTTCAAATCCATCCTCCGATTCTTACTAGCTGTGTGAGCCTAGGCAAATCACTTTGCCTCTGTTTGCCTCAGTGTCCTCATCTATAAAATGGAAATAATAACAGCACCTACCTCCCAGGATTGTTGTAAGAACCAAATGATGTGATAGTTGTAAAGCACTTAGCACTCTTCCTGACATATGGTAAGTGCTACGTAAATATTAGTTAGTTGTTCTATCTTTGATAAGAGTCTAATATCCAAGATATATAGGGAAATGACATAATAAGATCAAGTGGTCAAAGTATATGGACAACTAGGTTGTAAAAATATAATGCAACTATTAATAACCATAAGACTGTTCCAGAGAACTAATAATAAGATAATGCAAATTTAAAATGCAAATTAAAACAACTTTTAGATTTTATCTTTTATCTACCAAATCACCAAAGCAGAGAAACATGGTACAGTGGAAAGGGCAAAGGCTCTGGAACAAGAGAAGCTGAGATCAAGTTGAACCTATAATTTTTGCTATTTGTATGACTTTAGACAAGTCACTTATCCTTTGTGGGCTTCAGTTTCTTTATAAATAAAAAAGAGGGTTGAATTAGATGGCTCTTCTGGCTCTAGGTCCATACTATCATGAATATATGAATTTCCTTCTCTGTAGAAAAATAAAGCACTGCATTTGTGGAATGTTGTATTTACAGGGCAGCTAGGTGGCACAGTGCACAGAGAGCCAACTTGGAGTCAGAAAGACCTGAGTTCACAATATAGTCCCAGAAACTTATTAGCTGGGTGACCTTGGGCAAGTCACTTAACCTATTTGCCTCAGTTTCCTCATCTGCAAAATGGGGATAATATTTGTACCTGCCTCCCAGGATTGTTGTGAGGTCAAATGATATAATAATTGCAAAATGCTTACTACAATTCCTGGCACAGAGTGGATGCTACATAAATTTTTATTATTATTATTATTATTATTATTATTTATTATTATTATCATCATCATCATCATCATCATCATCATCATCATATCTTATTGCCTTGTAGGTTGAAATTTGCTCAAATTTATTTTTGTTATAATAGAGGATTCAGTGGGAGTATGTATTGAGAAATGATTCTAACAAAAGTTAATAATTGGAAAATGCATGATGACAATATGTATTTAATTATCTTTTTCATTCCTTGTCTACATTCAAGAGGTAGCTAGGTAGCTCTGTAGATAGAGTACTGAAACTGGAGTCAGGAAGTACTGAGTTCAGTTTTGGCCTTAGACACTTATTAGCTCACTTAAATTCTGCCTGACCCAAGTTTCCTCATCTGCAAAATGGGGGTAATAATATCTACCTCCCAGGGCTGTGGTGAAGATAAAATGAGATAATATTTGTAAAGTGCTTTATAAATATTGAAGTGCTATATAAATAATAAATGTTAGCTATTGTTATGAACTTTAGGTTAATGTAGTTACCTTCTTCCAAGATTATCATCTATTTCATATCATCAACAAGTAATTTCACATTGGTCAAATTGCATCCAGAGTGACAGTTCCATTGATTTCTTCATCTGTCTTTTGAGGGATAAAAATAATCAGTAATGTGAGATGAGAATTCTGCTATAAGCTTAAGGAAAAATTTTAGCATTTGTTTGGGGAGTTGCAATCTCCTCTCTTTACTATCCCAGTTTTCTGTCAATGTTAGAAATGCATCATAAATGTCCTCCGTTTGACCTGACTCCCTCTCATATTCCAATGATATCACTTGTTTTCTTTTTCTTTTATCCTCACCCAAATGTTCTCTACTACCCTTAAATTCCCAGTTTAATGTGTACAAGTTGGTACCTTTTTGACTTATAGCTCCTTTTCTTCTCTATTCACTCTCCTTAGATTGGTTTCTTGCCATCTTTATTATATATCACTCCCTTTCACAAACTCTTCGATTCAGCCAAACTGGCATTTTTGCTGTTCTCACACATGACATTCCATCTTTCGTCTCTGTGCCTTGAATGACTCCATGTCTGGAATATAATTCCTTCTCACCTCTCCAGCCTAGAATCTGTTTGCTTCAAAGTTCAGCTTAGATGGCACCTCCTACATGAACCCCACATGCCTATCCACCCATGCTCTGGTGCTAATACCCTTAAAAAATTAGATTGTATTTATTTTGTATATACTTATATCTATACAAGTAGTTTCCCAGGACAGAACAAAAGCTCTTTGAGGGTGAGTATTGTTTCACAAATATCTATGTATCCCCAGAACCTAGTACAATGTCTATCACATTTTATGGTTGTTCAGTCATTTTCAGTCATGTTTGACTTTCTGTGACCCCTTTTGGGATTTTCTCAGTAAAGATACTGGAGTGGTTTGCCATTTCCTTTTCCAGCTCATTTTACAGATGAGGAAACTGAGGTAAACAGGATTAAGTGACTTGCCCAAGGTGACACAACTAGTAAGTATCTGAGGCCAGCTTTGAACTCAAGGAGATGTCTTCCAAATTCTAGGCCTGGTGCTCTATTCTCTGAACCACTTACTGTCCTATCTAGCACATAGTAGGCTTAAAAATAGACTTGGCGGTCGATTTTTAGCAAGCTGTATATACAATTACATTGTATTACGCTAGTTATGATTTCCATCTTAACAAATAACAATGATACCTAAGAAATCATGTTTATCTCCTTGTGTTATTATTTTAATTTTACTTGGTTTTTCAGTCTTTGCTATTTTTGTTAAAAAAATCCCTCCCCCTTTTCTCTATTGTATTCACCAAAGAATTACTTATTCCACTACTTATTCAACTAGACAATACTCATTCCATCTTTTCCATGATATTTTTATTCTATGTCTCACTCATTTCCCTCCATACTTGCCAATATTATAGTTTTTCAGGATATTTTTTTCACCCTTTCATAAATTTCAGATTGAGTCAGCTTGCCAATCATCATTTTCCCATGCAAGAAGCAAACATATGAGACACATCCCTTTCAAGGATCCCTTCGCTTTGGTCTTATAAGCCAGAGTCAAGAAAACCAAATTAAATTTGTTTATGTGGCAAACTTATTATGCCTTAGTAGGATGCCCATTTTCCTCTTGCAATGGAAGCAGACCTGTTTTTCTTGCCAAGTAATTAATTTTTCAAACACTAAAGTCAATATTAACCACTACAGCATCCAATAAAGTGTAGTTTGATTTGGCTGGCCACTATGGAGAGAGACGATTGATGTGTGGTTATTTTCATTTGTTTATTTGTATTTTTGGCAGTGCTTCCTGTGTTTACTCAGCTACCTCAGGATACAAGTGTAGAGGTTGGGAAGAATATAAACATTTCATGTAGTGCTCAAGGAGAACCTCAACCCATAATTACTTGGAATAAGGTAAAGCAACTTTTGAAAGATAATGTTTAAGAAAAGGTAAGAATTGTACTAAACTAAAGCTACAGAAGTAGTCATTTTCAGATTGATTTATCACAGCTATGCTTTTCTCCCACGAAAAGGGCAGCTTCTTATCAGCAAACTGTTTCCTCTATCACTTGAAAAAAAAGATATTTCAGTCTCTATCTGATTTTGTTTCCCAACTTCCCACAAATGATGTCCCTTCATTATTTAGCTGACAGGGAAAGCAGTTGAACAAGTATATATCAATTCTTCTAAGAAACAGTTATTTACACTATATTAAACCCTTGGTACGATGCAACAACAAAAATGATTCAGGCTGAAACTTCCATAAGGGCCCCATTTATTTCCAGTTCCTCAAAAATGCATCACTGTCAGTAGTAGAATAAAACCTCACAATAAGACTTTGTTGTTATTGTTCGGTCGTTTCACACATGTCCAACCCTCTGTGACCCCTTTTTGGGATTTTCTTGGCAAGCATACTGGAGTGGTTTGCCATTTTTTTCCTCCAACTCATTTTACAGATGAGGAAACTGAGGCAAACAAGGTTAAACGACTTGCCCGGAGTCACATACCTAGTAAGTATCGGAGGCCAAATTTGAACTCGGGAAAATGGGTCCTTCTGACGTCAGGCCTGGCGCTATATCCACTGTGCCACCTAGCTGCCCGCAATAAGAAACATTTGATTAAAAAATCCAAGCAATGTGATGAAAGCATTTCCGACAGATACAAAATCTTAGTTGCTGTTACTGTTTAGACTTGTGATTTCAGTGATATAAAGAACTACTTACTGGTATGGAATCTCCCTCCACCAATGCAAGTTAGCCTCTCTCCTGTAACACAGTATGAGAGTTAGCTCAGACTGTGAAAAGTTAAGTAATCTGTCCATGGTTACACAACTAGTAATTATCAGAACTGGACACTAACCCAAATCTTCCTGACTCCAAGGTTGATTCTCTAGTCACTGTCACACTGCTTCTTTAATGAAACTTAAATAAATATAAATATAATAACACATACAATATACTAGAAATAATATGTAAACAAGCTTAAATAAATATAATAATATAATGTATTATAAATAACAAAACTATATCATAAATAATAATGGATATGATAATAACAATAAAGAAATGAAGAAAGGCCTCTGGCACATTGGGTGGACCCCCTTTGGTAACCTTTTATGAGCACATGGATGAGAGTCACAGAAGATGCATGGAGACCTCCTGAATTGATGACATCCTTCATTTGATTATTTATGGAAATAATAATAATTAAGAAATACTTTAATTGGACACCTCACCCATATTGGATCACTGGGACATGTTGATGACAATTATTTACTTCTTTCTTTTAACTTCATTCTAACAATTATACAATTGTCTCTTGCGTCTGGTCCTTAAAGACACACACACATACACACACACACACACACACAAAAACAATGCAACAACAACAATAACACGCAAGCCTTATGACAGCAAGATTTATAGCTATTTCCAGGATAACATGATGTCATGATGCACTAATAGTTCACAGTTACCACACTGAATCATCCAGGACTCTTTGCTGAGTAGGCACATGTGTCATCACGGATGACTCTTCAAACAACACCACTGTACTGCACTTGTAGTTTTTCTTAAAGGAGAAATATCTTAAGGGTTAAGGGAGTTAATCCTCACAAAGTTTCTTAATTCAGCTGAACAAGAATTTATTAAATAAATACCCATCTTGAGCTGTGAATTCTACTGGGCACTGTGGACATAAAGACAAATATTAAGCACTCCCTCTATTTTCAGGCAATAATTGCATCAGATTTGATATCTTGTCTCAGGAAACAGAGCCCTCTGTTATCATCTTGGGAAGTTTCTCAAGGCTAGGTTCATTTTTGCAGATAACATTGATGGACTTTCTATTTCATATCTCTAGGAGTTGAAAGGGCCAGGAGTTTAAAATCATTCTCTTTAATTAATTTTTCTTTGTTCAGTTGATAAATGAACCAAAGTTGTTTTTCTTTTTTTTTGTATAAGGTAAAAGCTTGAATCAACAGACTCATATTTTTAGATATTGGCTTAAGATTTATTAGATACTCCACAGTTAAAAAAAAAGAAAGATAGCTTGTCAGTGTCCTTTTCATAATACTAGCTATCATTTGCGAAAGCACTTTATGTATGTTAATACATTTGATCCTCACAACAGTCCTGTGAGGTAGATGTTGTTATCCCCATTTTGCAGATGAGGAAACTGAGGCACATAGAGGTTAAGTGACTAGCTCAGAATCACACACCTAATAAGTAAGTATCTGAGGCATGATTCTAACCTGACTCTTCTGACTTCAAGTACTCAGCTCTATCCACTGTGCTAACTTACTCCTGTTTCTCTCAGAGGTTCATTTCAGAGACAATCCATGGTTCTAAAATACTAACACAAAATTAAATTCATTTGACCCTTATTGCTGTGTGATTTTCCTGTTTCATTTCTTGTCAATTGTCATATTTCAGTGCATTACCTTTGAGCTAATCCTTCTTGATGTTATTATCTCTTTTATAGAAATTGATAGGAATAATAAATATTTTTAATTAATCATGTTATCCATATTGAATTATTGGGCCATACCTATTTCATGATGTTTACTCCTTTCCTCTAACTTCCTGTAAACATCATACAATTGATGTCTGATTCTGGTCCTTAAAAGAAAAAAAAGCAAAACAACAACATTGGAACAGAAATCCCCACACCAGTCATCCCCCAATCTCTCATGGGGATTTGAGGGTCTAGTATCTCTGGCTGTGTTTCAGAGGCATGGAACAGATTTTTGATAGATGTCACACCTTCTCCCTTGACACTCATGGCTCTCAAAAAAGCTACCCATATCGAAACAAAAATGAAAGCTAGTGCATGATAGCTGACATGGGAACTCAAGGTTTTTCTTCACTCATTGCAAGTTTTATGTGGCTTGACCTCTTTTCTCTCCCTGCACGGTGGCTTCTCCAGCAGTATCGTGCCTGACTACTTCTCCACAAGACAGTCCTGGGATCTGATTATTCTCCTCAAGATTGTTTATATAGCAAGATCTCTTTATCTTGTTTACTCCAACTACCTTATTGTACAGACAAAACAAACAAACAAAAAAAAACCCAAAACAAACTTGAGACTCTGAAGGAAGTCAGAGAATTTTTTCTATAGGTGCCTACCCTCTCTGATCAACTCATTGTGCCCTAAATTCCTGCTTATTGCTCATCCTTTGCCCATTATAATTTTTATGCCTAAAACACTCTTCCTCATCTCTACCTTCCTCCTTAGCTCAACCCCAGTGCCACTTTTTTTATGGCCTTCCCCTCTGCACTTACTATAGTTTGTATTACAATTATTTCTACACATGTTTTATCTTACCTATTAGAGTGTAATCTCTCTGAGGGTTAAGATTGTGCTTCATTCCAGCTTTTTATCCCCAGCATTAAGCACAGTACCTTGAATGCACACTTATTCATTATTTCTTGAATTTTTTTAAGTAGCAAAGAAAGGGCTTTGTGACAAATATTTTCTTTGGACTTTGAAACATCTTGGCTTTCTTCAGGTAAGGGAAAGATTTCTGGAACTCTTCTTTAGGAAAGAAGGAACATTTACTACAGATATGAAAAAAGTCAAAATTGAAAATGAAGATCCTTTTTTTAAAATTAAAGTTGTTTAATTTACATTTGTTTTATGAGTCATGAATTTTAAGCACTCCTTTTTTCATTCTTAATCTTTTTTTGTTTTAATTAGGCAGGTGTTCAGATTACTGACAGTGGCAAATTCCATGTAAATAATGAAGGTACTCTTACTATCAAGGATGTTGGGCAAGCAGACCAGGGAAGATATGAATGTGTGGCAAGGAATCACTTTGGATTTGCTGCTATTAGCATGCTTCTCACAACCATTGGTAAGCTGTTATTGATTTTTATCATAATAGAATATATCACAATAAGTTTCTCTAAGGATTAAAACTAATGGGGAGCTATAGAACCATAGAAACAAAAGGGTTTTTTAATTAATTTATTTTATCAACCATCACTTCCATAAGCTTTTGAGTTTTAAATTTTTCTCCTCTTTCCTTCCCACCTCCCTCCCCAAGACAGCGCACAATCTGATATAGGCTATACATATACATTCCTATTAAATACATTTGCACATCAGTGATGTTGTAAGTAAGAATTAGAACCAATAGGAGGAACCACCAGAAGAGGAAATAACAAAATAGAAGAAAAAAATAGCAAATAGTATACTTTGATCTGCATTCAAACTCCATAGTTCTGTCTTTGGATGTGGATAGCATCAGATCCTTGCATTGCTGAGAAGGGCTAAGGCTATCAATGTTAGTCATCACACAACATGGCTGTTAGTATGTACAACGTTCTCCTGTTTCTGCTCACTTCAGTCAGCATCAGTCCATACAAGTCTTGCCAGGTTTTTCTGAAGTCTACCTGCTCATCATTTCTTATAGCACAATAGTGTTCCATTACATTCATATACCATAATTTGTTCAGCCATTCCCCAGTTGATGGGCATCCTCTCAATTTCCAATTCTTTGCCACCAGAAAGCATACAGCCCTAGAAGTTCTATTGCTGGGTCAAAGGGTATGCACATTTTTATAGCTCTTTGGGCGTAGTTCCAAATTGCTTTCCAAAATGGTTGAATCATTTCACAACCCCACTAACAATGCATTAGTGTTCCAATTTTCCCACATCTTCTTCAACATTTATCATTTTCCTATTTTGTCACTTTGGCCAATCTGATAGGTTTGATGTGGTACCTCAGAGTTGTTTAGATTTGCATTTCTCTCTTCAATAGTGATTTAGAGCATTTTTTTTCCATATGACTATAGATGGCTTTAATTTCTTCATTTGAGAACTGCCTGTTCATATCTTTTGACCATTTAGCAATTGGGAAATGACTTGTATTCTTATATATTTGACAAAATTATATGTTTTAGAAATGAGGTCCTTATCAGAGACAATCAGTTATAAAAATTCTTTCCCAGTTTTCTATTTCCCTCCTAATCTTGGTTGCATTGGCTTTGTTTGTGCAAAAACTTTTCAATTTAACATAATCAAAATTATCCATTTTGCATTTCGTGATGTTCTTTATCTCCTCTTTGGTCATAAATTCTTCTTCTCTCCATAAATCTGACAGGTAAACTATTCCTTGCTCTCCCAGTTTGCTGACAGTACCAGCCTTTATATCTAAATCATGAGCCCATTTTGACTTTATTTTGGTATATTGTGTGCAATTCTATGCCTAGTTTCTGCCATACTCTTTTCCAGTTTTCCCAGAAGTTTTTGTCAAAGAGTGAGTTCTTATCCCAGAAGCTGGGGTCTTTGGTTTTATCAAAGAATACATTACTATAGTATAAAGCATATTACTACTGTGTCTTACATACCTAACCTATTCCACTGATCCACCACTCTATTTCTTAGCCAATACCAAGTAGTTTAGATGATTGCTGCTTTATAATACAATTTAAGATCTGGAATGGCTAGGCCACCTTCCCCTGCATTTCTTTTCATTAGTTCCCTTGATATTCTGGACCTTTTGTTATTCCAAATTAATCCTGTTATCATTTGTTCTAGCTCTATAAAATTATTTTTTTTGGAAGTTTGATTGGTATGGCACTGAATAAGTAAATTAGCTTAGATAGAATTATCATTTTTATTATATTAGCTTGGCCTACCCATGAGCAACTGATGTTTTTCTAAATATTTAGATCCTATTTTGCGTGAAAAGTGTTTTGTAATTGTGTTCATATGGTTCCTGGTTTTGTTTTGGTAGGTAGACTCCCAAATATTTTATAATGTCTACAATAAGTTTAAATGGAATTTCTCTTTCTATCTCTTGCTTTTGGGCTTTCTTGGTAATATATAGAAATACAGATGATTTATGTGTGCTTCTTTTATAGCCTGCAACTTTGCTGAAGTTTTTTATTATTTCAAGTAGTTTTTTACTTAATTCTCTACATATATCATCTCATCATCTGCAAAGAGTGATAATTTTGCTTCTTCATTACCTATTCAATTGCAGTTTGGGATCTCTTTCAGGAGATGATTGGTAGATTCTTTCTATGGCTATTTTACTCTCTGGTTCTAGGACTTCAGGGCAGTTTTCCTTGATGATTTCCTGAAAGATGCTGTCTAGGCTCTTTATTTCATTGTGATTTTCAGGTAAACCAATAATTTTTAAATTTTCTCTCCTGGATTGATTTTCCAGGTCAGTTGTTTTACAATGAGGTATTTTATGTTTTCATCTATTTTTTCATTCTTTTGTTTCTGTTTGACTGATTCTCCCTCTCTGAAAGAGTCATTAGCTTCCATTTGCCCATTTTTAATTTTTAACAAATTGTTTTCTTCTGTTAGATTTTGTACCTCCTTTTCTATTTGGCCCATTTTATTTTTTAAGGAGATCTTCACCTCAGTGAGTTTTTGTGTCTCCTTTTCCATTTGGCCAATTATGCTTTTTGAGGAGTTGTTTTCTTCAGTGTACTTTTTTTTTCCATTTGGCCAATTGTATTTTTTAGGGACTTGTTTTCTACAGTTATTTTTTGTCCTTCCTTTTCCAAGCTATTGATTCTTTTTTGCATACCTCTCATTTCTTTTCCCAATTTTTCTTCTACCTCTCTTATTTGTCTTTTCAAATCCTTCTTAAGCTCTTCCAAGAAGGCTTTTTGGGCTTCAGACCAGTTCGTATATGGGTTTGTTGACAATGTTGCCTTCTTCAGAATTTCTGCCTTGATCTTCACTGTCCCCATGATAAGAATCTATGGCACATTTCTTTTTGCTTATAGTGTTTCTTATTTCCTGGCCTTTAAAGAAATTAAGATTTCCTGATGGGGAGCAGGGGGCACTAACCCAGGCTTTTTGTGCTGGGGCCTCTGATGCTGGCAGTTGGAGGCTGTAGGGTTCTGGCAGCTTACCTGGTGTTGGGCTGGAATCAGCAACACTGGAACTCTACTAGGTTGCCTGCTCACTTGGGTCTTTTCTTTTCCTCCTTTTCCTTTCTTTGGCTGCTTTCAGATGGATGTTTCTCCCCCAGGGCTTTCCCCTTTGGAGCACTTCCAAGAGTTTTGCTGAGGCACTGGGAGACTTGGTTGCAGTAGAATCCTGAGGCACGTGGTGGTTTTTTTGAGCCAGTTTCCCCTGGCTCCCCGTCCTTACTGAGGCACTTGGGGGTCCTGGTGTTGAGATTTGCGTGCTCTACCACCTGGGGTTCAAGATCTCCTGCTAGTATGCTGAAATGGGGCTTTCTGCTAGCTTGCTGGCACACCTCCCATTCTATACTGCTCCTCTTCCCCCAGGGAAAGAGGGGCCTTTCCCATTAAGTCCTCAAGCTACCTGGGCTACAGGATTGCTACACCCTGCCTTTCTTCTGGTTCAGCTGTTCCAGAGTTTTTCCTGGGGTGATGTCTTCTGGGCTTCAGAGGTTAATAAGGGACAATAAGAGCAACCTACTTCTTACTCCACCATCTTGGCTGCTGCAACAAAAGTTTTTAAATTTCTTTCCATGGAAGGAACACTTTCAATCTCACCCTAATTTTATCTGCTCTCATCTCACTATCTATAGTACCTCTACATCATTTATTTATACCATTTAATCCTGTTTTCCATTTATGCCAAAATCCCTTAAATTCATTCATACACATGTACCCCCTGCTGGTCCCCTGCCATATCTCTTCCCTCCTCCACAACTCCATTAAATATCATGAAAAGCCTTGTATAAATCTTTCATTTAGTGTGTATTAAACTTGAAGAAATTAGTCATTGTCAAATATCTGGGGAACAAATAACCATTTTCAAATCAGTGGGGTAGAATATTTCAGATCAGTTGTTGGCCGGGAGCTATTTCATCTTTGTGGTGAACTCCTTTGCCCAAGGAACATCAGTGCAGTTCATCTCTAACCTTATCCTTGAGAATCTCCTGAGGGAAGAGAGAAGTTGTGTCCATGGTCTCCTGGCTATAGCAGATCAGTCTGTCAATCAGTCAATAAACATTTATTAGGTGGTTTTTATGTACCGGGCACTGTAGTAAGCAATGGGGATACAAAAAAGAGGCAAAAGATAGTCCCTGCCCTCAAGGAGCTCATAATCCAGTGAGAGAGACAAGGGAACATATATGTATAAACAAGCTGTATTCAGAATAAATAGGAAATAATAAACAAAGGGAAGGCATTAGAATTAAGAGAGGTTGTAAAAGGCTTTCTGAAGCTAAAGAAGTCAGTACGAGAAGAGGAAAAGGGAGTACATTCCAGGCATGAGAGATAGAGAAAATGCCTGAAGTATCTCTCTCTCTTAGTGAGATTCTCACTTAGCACAGTGCCTGGCATATGGTAGATACTATCTAAATGTTAGTTAGTAGCAGCAGCAGCTGCTAGGTGGAATAGTGGACAGAGCACTGGCCCTGGAGTCAGGAAAACTTGAGTTCAAGTTTAACCTCAGATACTTATTATCTTTGTGACCCTGGGCACGCCACTTAAACCTAATTGCCTCAAAAAAAAAATCGTATATTCAGCATTTCTTGATAAAAAAAAAAACTGTCTGTACAATCCCAGATATGTAAATTAAAAATGAAAAGCTCATTTATCTAAATGACTTTCCTACCTGGCAATAAATTCCTGGGTAACAATTTATTTTTCCTTTTTTTTGTTGTTATTGTGAAGATAAAATGAGATAATAATTATAAAGTGCTTAATACAGTGCCTGGCACACGTTCAGTTTAGTTGTTTTCAGTTGTGTCCTACTCTTTGTGACCCAATTTGGGGTTTTCCTGGCAAAGATACAGAAGTGATTTGCCATTTCCTTCTCCAGCTCATTTTATAGATGAGGAAACTAAGTCAGACAGGGTTAAATGACTTGTCCAAGGTCACATAACTACTAAGTATACGAGGCGAGATT